TTTATTCAGTTGTATTCAGTCAATGTGTCAGTCGGTAACGCGTGAGTGAATAGTGGTGTTTGTTGCGTGGCTCAAACGAAATAAAAAATGCCACATGTTTACGAAAATGCTGAACTTGTGGACATGATTATTATTTACGGGGAGTCTTTACAAAATGCTGCCGCGGCATCACGGATTTATGCGGATCGGTTTCCCAATCGAGTGCAACCAACCCCTTGTGCCTTTGTTAATGTAGTACAAAGGGCTCGTAAATCAGGTGACTTAAGACTTCACAGGGGAGAGCATGCCGGTGCTCCAAGACCGCACGATCAAATAAAACTAGAAGCACAAATTTTAGAATTAGTAAATGATGATCCAACACTAAGCACCCGACAAATTTCAACTCAATTGGCGATTAGTCAATATAAAACTTGGAAAACTCTACGTGAAAATCAGTTCTATCCGTTTCACATACAAAAAGTGCAGGCCTTACAACCGGAAGATCATGAACAAAGGGTTGACTTTTGCAATTGGCTTTTAAATAAACATCAAAATGATGACAATTTTTTAAATCAAATTTTAGTGAGTGATGAAGCACTCTTTACTAGAAACGGAATTATTAATTCACGTAATTCTCACGTTTGGGCTATTGAAAATCCCCATGAAATAAGGGAAACCAATTTTCAACAGCGATTTGAACCAATCAACCTGTGGGCTGGAATTGTTAATGGGATTTTAGTGCGGACTTTTGAATTACCAAATCGCTTAACTGGTGAAAATTATCTTGATTCTTTGCAACACAATTTGCCTGGTTTACTGGAAGATGTGCCTTTAAATATTAGACAAAACATGTCGTTTTTACAAGATGGGGCACCCCCCCATTATGCAAGAAATGTGCGTGAATTTTTAAATAGACAATTTAATAATCGTTGGATCGGCCGTGGCGGTTTTGTACCTTGGCCGCCAAGGTCTCCGGACTTAAATCCTTTAGACGTTTGTTTGTGGGGATGGCTAAAATCTCTAGTGTATAAAACACCGGTTAATACACGCGAAGAATTACGTGCTCGAATTGAGGAAATGAGTACAGTGATCAGAAATCAACGAGTGATTTTATTGCGTGCTTGTAAAGAGACATGGCTGAGACGCGCCCAGCTCTGCGTCGAGCAAAACGGAAATCATTTCGAACAGTTTTTGTGACATGCTTTTGGGCGCACAGGTCCGCACTGAAATACTTGTCGGGAGGATACTTTATAAAACAAGGTAACATTTTTTTAATTTTTTTTACACACACATATTTTGGTTTATCTTCCTTCTACAATTATTATCTGAAAATTAATGACTCAACTTCAAAGTCACCCTGTATAACCCTAACTTAGTTTAACAGGTATGCGGTATTCACAGCAGTAGTAATAACAGCATGAGCGTCTTGTAATTGTAATTTTTGGTATTTTTCCTACTAGTGCCTGTTCTCGTTTTCCCGTTCACTCCACCACTGGTAATATCGAATTAGAACTAGAATAATTTGTTTATGTCTTATTTGATCATAAGTAACATAAAACAACCCTCAGGAGCTGAAAATACCAGTTTTCTAACATATCGGCGATTTGAACTGACTACTGAACTCGTCAACTGTAATTTCATCATATGTATTCAAATCTGAATCTGACGTCAGGGACGTGAAAATAGCTAGTGCTGAACGTAACTTTTACAGTTTTATACAATAACCCTGTAAAAGTTCACTCATTTGATCTACCCAGAGGCTTTTTTGTCTTCAACAACCAAAGTTCAGAAAAATTAAAGGCTGCTAAAAACTTTAAAATGGAAAACGGTTTTTAGAGCTTTTTCCACATTTTTTTTTCAACAAAAAACAAAAATTTGCGTTATATAGCAGAAAGCAAAAGCAAGGTATTTGTTCAAAAGTAAGGAAAATCGGCATTTCTCTAATAGAAAAAGAAAACCGATCAAAGGGGCAAGATACAAACGCCGCCTAACTCAAAAGATAATACAGGTCACTACTATTTTACCTTTCCACTTTTATTCAGCAGATGACACTACATGTAACATACTATAATGACTAATGTCGTTGGCGCCACCTACAGAACAAAATTTCATTATGTCAGGGGCGCCACCGGTTGAACAACGATCCAACGACTGTCGGTGGCGACGCCTATTGAACAATATTGCAACCACAGACGTCTCTTACAATCGATAGATGACGTTACAAAGAATGTAAGCGGCGCCATACAACAGTTTAAATCAATAATTGAAAATTTCCGTCGCCAGCCGGATTATTTATAAAAAATGAAATTTAAAGGCTATAAAATTGATAACTGAAAAAATTTGCGAAACAAATATTTTCACTCGACAGCCTATATAACTAGTACAGCAGACTGAGATGCTATTAGTTATCATGGAGATATCGATAAAATCGGGAATAAACATTCGATTCCACAAATTTACGTGGAAAGCGAAGCCACAACAGCAATTTTTTGTACAAGAAAAAAATCCCAACAAATCAACTTCACTTTCAAGTGTAATTTTGCTTAAAGTACCTTCAGCACAGATGGTACAGATCTACTGCAATTTATTTGTCTCCAAATATGGAAAAAAATGAACTACCAAAAATATATTTTAATATAAATAGGTAAAATAAAACGTAAAGGGTTGTCCAATAGGGACGCAGGAAAGTAAACGTCAATTTGACATAGACGCCATCTTTGTTTTCTGTCGCCGACATGTCATTTTGTTAGTTGAATGTCTATTGTTTACCATTGATCGCTATGGAGTCGTATTCGATTGAAGACCGCATTAAAGTTATTCAAGAGCACTACAAAAATGGTGCAAAAATAAAATCTGGGCGAACGAAAATCCCCGTGAGTATCAAGAGCAGCCGATGCATCCTCAAAACGTGACTGTGTGGTGTGCATTGTGGTCAAACGGAATCATCGGACCTTACTTTTTCGAAAATGCGGCCGGGGACGCCGTTACTGTCAATTGTGAGCGATATCTCGTGATGATAGAGGACTATTTTTTGCCGCAACTTGAAGGAATGGATATGGACGATGTTTATTTCCAACAAGACGGTGCAACATGCCACACAACCAACGTCAATATCCATCGATTGCAGTCCTTCTTCGGTGATCGCGTGATTTCGCGCAGAGGAAATGTGCCATGGCCACCAAGATCGTGCGATTTGACCATCGCGTGGACGTCTGTAAATCCAGTCGTGGTGAACATTTGAGCGATATTATTTTTCATACATTAATGGTATAAATGAACCGTCAAAATAAAGTACCCAACTTGATTTGAATATCAATCTTTCTTGTTTTAATATGCATTTACTTTCCTGCGTCCGTTTTGGACAACCCCATACTTTCAGTACGGTATCTACAAACAAATAATCAGGTTTATCTTCGTATCGATTTAGCCATTAACGTCTTATTAGAGAGATTAGAGTGCTGAATATGTATAATCATTCCTTCATTTGAGGTCTCCTTATTTTAGAGGTGCTTTGACAATATTGACAAACAGATAGAAAAAAGCCGCCTCCTTCCATGAAAAAGATATTCGATAACTATTTGTCGTTTTCAAATGCCTCGCGATGAAGAGGCCTCAAGTAAGAAAATGACTATTTGCATAGAATGTAGGTTGGTTGAAGAGGTGTAGGTACCTCGGGTGGCACGCGGTGCGGAAGTTGGTGGTGTCACCCTATCGAAAGTCAAAAGCAATAAATTTTATATGATTTATAAACGTCATGGATCATTTAATATTAATATTTAAAATATTGATCAAATAACAAAACACAATAAAAAGTAGACAAAAAAACAATATTTTCATCTTACAATTAAAATCTCTTCTTTCTAGCTTTGACTGCTGCAAACTCAGAAATAACTTCATCAAAATTTATAATTTGTATTGCCTCGTGTTCGATGGCTAATATACCAAGATTGATAAGCCGCGTTTGGGTTGGGTCGTTGATGCCCGCAAATAGTTTTTTATTAATTTTAGTTTACTGAAACTCCTTTAACATGAAGCTACTGACAAACCGTCATGAACAATTTTATCGCAATCATAAGATTTGGAAAAGATTCTGTAAAATCCCATTCTACAATAAACTTTAAAAATCTAGAGATACCCAATCAGAAACTGTAACATTCGCGTTTTTTAAGTGTCTTCGTAGCCTTGGTATCTCCAAAAGTAATTCTGTTTCTGAGATCTAATCAATAAATTTGTATGTAGCTTATTTCAGTACTTCAGTATTCGTGAAAAGCAAAGTATTTATAAGATCTCGAACAGTGAAACTAGGTTTTAAAGAGACTTCGATCTTGTCTGGAGCTCAACTCTGAATTGGACAAGACATTCCAATATATCTTTTTGAAGTTCTTCTTTTACTGCGAGTTCTGCATCACTGACCATTTCACCAACCACCGTGTTATTTTACGACGAAGTCGTCTTTTCGTTGGAATATCGTGGCCTTCTTATTTTTTTGTAGCAATGAATTGCCTCCTCCACAATATGACCCCGTTTCTTCAATATAAAGAAGTGCCTCTATTTTTGTAGCAGTTTCGTCAACATTTAAGCCTTCACGTTGCAACGCAATCTGTTTAGCATTTATTTCCCGAAGAACATCTGTGCTAGCGATTTATTTTTTTGATGTCTGTACATTGTTCTAAAAGTTGAGTCACCGGGTGGGTGTCACACCAAAAATGGTTACCGCCGCCCCCCTTGCTACGTCACTGGTTGGTTGTATCTCCCACATAATACTGTCAGTTTCCAAGAGGACATTTTTGTATGGATCGTTTATACAGTCAACATATTTAAAACCCTAACAGCAATGCTTTGTATAAGAATAAATACAAAGCAACTTCACGTATCATTTTGCTTTAAGTACCCACCTTCAGCAGTTCTTGGTACAGCATAAGTCTACATACTGCAATTTATTCGTCTCCAAATAGGAAAAAAAGGAACTATCAAAAATATGTTTTATTATTATAAACAGGTAAAGAAAAACGTACTTTGAGTACAGTATCTACAAACAAATAATATATTACAAATATATGTATACAATAAAATCCAATATACAAATCTATCAATTCAAAACAAAGACGGATAAACCAGTACTAATATGCATATATTACTTTCCAAAACTTAAGTATATTACACATAGAATGAATTAAATAATAACAGGTGGTGAAATGTTACAGATTTCATACATCTTTGATCTCTCACTACCATTTTAATTAATCAAAATTTCAGAACTACAGGGTGGCCCATCCATATGTGGACAGAATATACATTTTTGGAAACTATTTATGGGATGTTATACATGACATTTGAGGGGACATTTCTAAAATATTGGCCATTATACAGGGTGTCCCAATTTCGACCTACATATCAAAGTTGTGATTTTTCAAATGGAATGGCTCAAATTTTATTGTATAAGGTGTTTTTGTCTAGAAAAACGCTCCACTTCGGCAACTTCTCATTCCGCCATTTTGAAATTTGGAGTTCTGAGTTTTGTATCAAAAAAACTTACACCCCTCAACTTTTATCGTATTTGTTACCTTTTCGAATTTTAATTTTTGCTCATACAGAGTAGTCAAAAACGCAAACTGTAGTTTTTCTCAAAATTTCAAATGCATCATATTTGTGCAAGTTTGGATTCAATTTTTTATAACCTTTTTTTTGATACTAGACACAAGGGTTTTTACGGCTATTTTTTCGGTTATTAGCACGTCTTTTATGGATCGGTTTAATTCCCTAAAATATCACATCATCCTTGGAAACAAATAAATTGTTGATTAGTTACAAACTGTCAAAATTAGCTTTGTGAGCATTATAATATAAACGTCTTTGAAAATGAATTTTTCTAAAGAAGAAATTGTGAATATGGTGTTCATTTTGGGCGAAGCCCAAAGAAATAGTTTTCCAGCATCTCGCATTTACGAGTATAAGCAACGGTACCCTAATATGCGACATCCAAGGCCGGAAACATTTTCCACACTACGTGAACGTTTTGAATCAAGTGGAGCAGTGGAATATAGTAAAAAATGTATAAATAATCCAAGTGTCACCAATGAGGCGAATCACTTAGAGGTTCTATTAAAGTTGCAGGAAAATCCCCATTTAAGTGCTCGGCAAATTGGAACAGAAACTGGTATATGCAGAACTTCTGTCCAAAGGATTATTCACAAGCATAGGTACCATCCATATCACCTATGCTTGCATCAAGGCCTTCGTCCTCAGGATTTCGCAGCTCGAATGGAGTTTAGTAGAATAATGCTAAATGAAGTGAGTGAAGACATTACTTTCCTGGATAAGGTTCTTTTTAGCGTTGAAGCAACTTTTAACAGCATAGGTGTTGTCAACAGGCATAACATACACTATCATGCGACGGAAAACCGTTACTGGGTTAGACAAATGGATTTCCAAGATAAATGGTGCTTGAATGTTTGAGGAGGAGTTATTGGCAGACAAGTTATCGGGTCTTTCTTTTTCGACAACAGATTAACAGGCACAGAATACACAGATTTTTTGATAGAGCATTTGCCTTTGGAGGGTGTCAACCTGCAAACTCGGATGCATATGTACTTTCAAACATGGCGGCGCACCTGCGCATTATCATAATCGTGTGGACACCTGGAGTAACAATCGTTGGATCAGTCGTGATGGGCCTATATCTTGGCCTCCTAAATCATCATATATGACACCGATGGACTTCTTTCTATGGGGCTACGTTGAGCAAGAGGTTTATAGATATCCACCATCTACCCCGGAAAATATGAAGGAAAGGATTAAGGATGCTTTTCTGAACATAAGGGAACACATGCTGAAGGATGTGCAACGGTCATTTCTGTAGGTTAGGTCTTGAGTAGTAATAGTTGTTTGTTTATGTTGTTGTTATAGTCGTTTTTCTCTATTATGCTTGAATCTGATTTATACTATTCTGATTTTTATTAGTTTTTACGTCAAATATGTACTCTTAGTGGCAATATGGAACTAGCCCAGTTTGTCTTTTGTTTCCATGGATGATGTGATTTTTTTCCTTAATTTTGGTGTGTTGTTCTATTAAAAGCTTATGATTCTCAAAATCTTGTGATTTTATCTGAATCAAACCTTATACCAAAAAAAAGCTTATAAAAAAATTGAATCCAAACTTTCACAAATATACATTGGAACTTTTGAGAAAAAGCACAATTCGCGTTTGTGACATGAGCAAAAATGAAAATTCGAAAAAGTAACAAATAAGATAAAAGCTGAGGTGTATAGATTTTTTTTGATTAAAAATTCAGCACTCCAAATTTCAAAATGGCGGATTGAGGGGTTGCCGAAGTGGACGGTTTTTCTGGACAAAACACCTTACATCTCAGTAGCTAATTACCAAAACCCTATAGTATGTTTTATCAATATTCTTCTTTTGAATCGGTTTATCCAAATATGCAATAAATTTTGAGGCATTTCATTTAAAAAATCACAACTTTGATACGAAGGTCAAAATTGGGACACCCTGTATGATTGCCAATATTTAGGAAATGTGCCCTCAAATGTCATGTATAACATGCCATAAATAGATTTTCCCAAAATGTATTTGTTTATGAGTAATATTCCGTCCACACATGGATGGACCACCCTGTATTGTATTCATTATGCATGGTACTTGAGAATACAATCAGTTTTCTTGAAGATTAGGAAATATTCGACAATCAGTTTCAGTCACACTATTTACTCCATTTTGTAAAGCTCAATACTTAAACAGAATATGAGACAAGTAAAAAATGAATATAACTTCATTCATTTTCAATAGGTATATTTTTTTCTACAAAAATATACACTTTTTTATAAAGACTCTGAACATCACCTCATATATTACAGAGGTTTCAACACATTTTGACAGTGTTATATAGTTAATAAGTTTCTAAATATGTTTTCATTTTATTCAGTTGTATATAGCAATATAATCTTTGAGAATTGAGTTAACATATGGATATCTAATATTTATTCTTCGAAGCAAAGTTTAACTTACTATCTGTCATAAGTTGCTATATTCCTCCTTTTCGTTTTAGTGGTATGAAAATATAAATCAAGAATTTGACATGGAAATTTTGCTTTCCAAGTTTTATCGTAGAGTATATAAAAGACATGTTTTTGTTGTATAAAATACTTACAGGAACAAGGCTGGCATAGTTAGCAGTCGACTGCGTTTTAGTAACGTACTTTCATATCAATGAAATTTTGGTTCAAAAAATGTTTTATTAATTAAATTGAAATTGAAATTCTTGAAAAAATAACCAATACAACAAAAAACCGTTTTATAAATTATTATACAAGTAAATTGTCTACGTTGATTGTAGATGCTCTTACTTTTTCATTCATAAGAATCAATAATCTATCATTAAAAACATAAATAAAATAGTATCTATGTTCATTTAAAATTGTTCAAAACAGAGTTCCACGGTCACGTGAATAATACAACAGATTTAATATTTTCTCTTTTGTCTTTTAATATAAAGTCAATATGACCTCAGATATTGGAAATTGATTCCCTGTATAATATTTACAGAGTTTCCATAGGAAAAATTAAGCAAGCGCAACATGAACTTTCAATAAGAAAAATATGAATACAAATAGATGATAATCAAAATAAATTTCAGATTTGTCTAAGTATCGACTTAGCCATTGACGTCTTATTTAAGAGATCCGAGTTCTTCCTTCATTTGAGGTCTGCTTAGGTATTTTAAGAGCACCTTATTTGCTTTGACAATATTGACAAACAGATAGAAAAAAGCAGCCTTCTTCCATGAGGAAGATATATGATAACTATTTGTCATTTTCAACTTAAGGCTTTACTTTATAACACGATTGTTTAGTAATTATTCAATTACTGTGATTCAGTTTATGGGCCTTGTAAACTGCGTGTCCAAAACTCTTGTCTTAGGTTCATTTTTGGAGTGAAAAAATAAAATCATTCTCTATAAAACTCCGCCTTATTTATATAATAAGATTACATTTCGAAGTGATGTTTACAATATCAATGTTCGATCTCGGAAGCTGATTTCCCAACCACGTCATCGTACATCTATGTTTTTCTCATTTTATCTACCACTTGTACAATCACGTCCCCACAAACCTTTCAAGTCTATGTCTGTGTCAGCTTTTAAAAGAAGTTACAGAAAATTTCTATTAGATGAATTGTAGTGTTTACTTTATATTGTTCCTTTCCTTTTTATATTTTAAATGTTTTTTTTTGTTAAATCTGCCTAAAATGATTTGACCTTTTTTGTTAATTTATATTTTTATATGATCTCTTTATATACATATTTTTTACGCTTGTATTTATTATTTATTAATTATTAATATTAACTTATATAATTTGGTTAAGAACTCCTCTGTTGTAATTTTTTTTGTTGGGCTTTGATCAGCTTGTCAGTTTACTAGTTCTTCATTTTTAATTTTTTCTCTTTGTATTTTTTGCTCTGCAAATAAACGCTGTTATTATTATTAAATATCAAAGCTGTCAAACCAAATAAGGAGGCCTCAAGTAAGAAAATGACTATTTGCATAAAATGACGTCATGTAGGTTTGTTGTATCTCCCACATAATACTGTCAGTTTCCAAATGAACATGTTTGTATGGATCGTTTATAGTTGAATATAAAATCTTACAAAGCTTCTACTAAGTAAGATACAGTCAACCAATTTGAAATCGTTTGCAGTATCAATTGAAATCATGATTTCTTTCATAAAGTACCTTTATCAATCTTTCAAAAAATTCCTGAAAATCTGACGTAGTCGACTTGATCAATTTTACCATACAAACACCGACCATAAAACGAATGAGCCTCAAATACGTATATAATGTGAATATAAATGAAAAATTAGTAAATGCTAAATAAACAATAATGAGATATCTCCACGAATTAATGAAATTATCTCTAAACAGGCATCTCAAGTCGACGATGGGTGGTATGATAATACAAAAACAAACAATTACAATAATAAGAAAATAGCATACACCGCTTGACATAATAAGTACATAACCGCATTCAGCACAAAAGTAACCTTATGCCTTACACCCTATTTGATGAGTATCCATCACGGAACAATGACAGCTAGTTATCTAGTAATATTTCAAAATTCCCCAAATCGGCACAGAACACATAATTAATTCCGACGGATCGGTGAACTCAAGGTAGACAGACCCGTATTTTGTTGTGGTTCTTTGTACGCTATAGATTCATTTTGTACTTGCTAACAACTCTTTTATTTAAAAAAGTTTCTTTGAATACGAAAGAAACGCTACAAGTACAATGGCTGCTAATGACCATGACTACATTTCAAGTCAGGTAGGAATGAAATAAGATAAACAGCTTTTGACTATATTAATTATATCTACTCTTTAGAACTGGAAACACCATATAATCTTAAAGGGGAATGAAAGAGCCATACATTTAGTTCAGAATGTGTGAAAGAATATGACCGAGTTGATAGAGGTTCGATTCCCTCAATTAGGTATGAACATTACTCAGGTAAATCTAACAAGTAATAAAATATAAAAATGTAAGTAACTATTGCAGGAAGTCATGAAATGTACACAACTGGGACAATGCAGTGTTCGTGAATACAGGCATGGGCCAACTGTAGAGATCTCTGCAAAAATCCAAAGGAAACGCAAACGTAATTTATACTTTTTTCGGAGAGTAAGATATTCATAAGGAGCTGTCAGCAAATTGATGCTATGCCATCATTACATATCGAGGAAATGAAAAAATCCAGGACGTATGTTTTATTTTTATTTTGCTGTTTGAGTGGTATGATGCATTTGATGTATCACAAAAATATGCCATGATGGTGGGTCGTTTACGTAATTTTGGGTGAATGTATTAGCTTTGATGTGATTAGTTATGCGCTTTTGATGAATTACGTTACACTGATGACGGACAATAAACCAGAAAGACGTGTCTATATTATTTTTACAGGTAAATTTACAGCTTCTGGAAAGGACTATGCAACCTGTTCTATTGACATACTAATCCATAAATCCCAAATGTACTATAATAATTTTCTAATAAACTTTTCTATATATGTACTTGACCATCTTATTGTCACATTTCCCATCCACTTAAAAATATAATCCTGATATGTGAACAACAGCTCTGAATACGGTCCCGAAATTCATTATTGCCAACGTTACAAATTAACACAAAGATGTCGCTTTTGTGATCAGCTGTTCACCTCAAAGCGTGATGGATACTCGTGAAATAAGGTTTACTTTACATTATGCTGTATAGCATACACTAACCGAAGTATGTAAATTATTGAAACAGTGTCGTAGTTATGATCGCGGATCGTATGTATGTTTGTTTCACTGTTTTAGGTGACGTAGTATGTATGTTTTGGGTCCTAGTATACAGGCTGTTGATTAAGTATGTACCAAAAATTTGACAGACAATTCTTTGAGTAATTTTAAGACAAACAGTTCATATAAACATAGGTCCGCAAATTCTTCGTTCTCAAGATACAGGGTGAAAAAATGTTTTTTCGTAAATATCTTGAATATCCTTTACCTGATTTTGTTGTAATTTGGCCCTAACTTGATTAAATTTATTAACTCCGACGGGATCTGAACGAATATTTGTGACAACAAAATTACGCCACTGACTTTTGTGCAAGTTTTATTATGTTCTTTATATTCAGCAAATAGAAATACTTTTTTATCTCTTGAATTTTTTTAGTAGCTTAGTTTTCGAGAAAAAAGTACACTTAATTGCATATCCCTGCACCACGCAAGGAATATGGGGAAAAGTTTCTTTTGAAAATTCTTATTTTTGTATAATTTTTTCATTACTAAATAACATTAAAATTAGTTTTATTAAAAAATAAAATTTTTTTTTCAAAAGATACTTTTCCTACATATTCCTTGTGTGATCCAATTAAGTGGTCGTTTTTGTACCGAAAACTGAGCAAGATGAAAAAAATTCAAGAGATAAAAAAGTTATATTTCTATTTGCTTAATCCACAGAACATAATAAAAATTGCACAAAAACCAGTGGCGTACATTTTTTTGCCAGAAATATTCGTTCAGATCCCGCTCGAGACGCCACTGGACTTAATAAATTCAATCATGTTCCGGCTAAATTAGCTCCATAAAATTATAAATACCACCGCCAAATTGTAAGTAAATTAGGTAACAGATACTTGAGGAATTTACGGATTTTTTTTACATTTCAACACCCTGTGAATGACCTATATTTATATGAACTTTTTGTTTTGAAATTACTCAAAGAATCGTCGGCTAAATGTATGGTACATACTTAATTAATACCCTGTAGGTGTTCTATGTTTCTCATTTATTCACTTTCCTGCTTGTGGTTATTTACCCATTACTCAACGCAAAGTATGAACAAAGAATTAATTTCCAAACTTCTCTCCAGATTATATAAAAGCATCTCAACCGTTACATTTTCCTATGCCTGAAAGTCGAAATAATAAAATAACAATGGTCAACAAAAATTACAATGAGCATCTGAACGGTAAATGTGAAGGGTGAACTATTATTTAATAAACTATGCTAAAAGAACCTTTCCATATATAAGGATTAAACATTATAGATCTTTCTCGAGATTTCCTCTTGAAGGCTCCAGTTTCACTTCCATTCGTCTGTTAGTTCTCGAGCCCAAGTGTGCATTATATGAGTCTATGCTGTCGGAAGTGTTGGCTTCATGGTTTGTAAGGGATTCATCAAAAAGTTCAGTGAAATCGATCAAATTGTTGCTTTCTGTCGCCATTTCATTTCCCGATAGCATTGGATCTCCTATAAAAAAAATTGAGAACTAGTAGTTAACTTCTCAAGAAATGCTTTCATCAGTTCACAAAAGATTATGTTCAGCACAAGTTAGCCCCTTTAAAATAATACGATCATGTATAACAAATAAATTAAACGGATCACTTTAGTCAAATAGGCACACACAGTGAGTTCTTAATCCCACCCATTTACCAACGGTGCGATCACAGTCAGGGAAACATGTGATCCACCTTCAGTACAACTTTGAACTCGCTCAAGTAATTTGGTTATCCGTAGCGATTTTTTTGGGGAAAGTATCTTCTATTGTGTTCTAAAAATGAGTAACATCAATTTCGAGTAATGGTGTGCTATCAGGTTTTTGCTTCAGAGTTGGGCAAAGTGGAACGGAAACTCTTGCTAAACTTCAACAGGTCTACGGAGATAGTGTTCTGTCAAGAGCTCGGGTTTTACGGTGGGCGGTTTAATTCATTTTCAGAAGGGGGAGAGAGTTAGTTGAAGATGAAGCAAGAAGCGGAAGGCCTTCATCTTCAAGAACCGATGATAATTTCGACAGAATCCGGTTGGAAATCAGAATGATCGAGGAAGAGTTAAATTTGACTTACATCACCGTTCATCAGATTAAGAACAACTGGGTGCTGCGTCACGATTATGCTCCTTGTCACACAGCAATGTCAATAAACTTTTTTTTATACCGAATCAGCCGCGCAGGCAGAAGCCGGAACACCCGATCGCTCAAATTAAGCCGGATCTATGCGGAAGAGTAATTGAAAATTGGACCACTCGAATCCAGGCCACCGTAAGAAGCCGATGCGGACATATGAACGATGTGATATTCCATACTTAATGGAATACATGGGACTTTCAAATAAAAAAAGATTTTTGTTAATACCTCAGACACAGCTTTTTTAATTCCATTTCAACATCTACCCGCCCTTATTGAAAAACCCGGCACAACCACATCAGTTTTTACAAAAGACATAAAAAGGTGGACTCTTCTTACACTATAGAAAACAACAATCTTGAATATTGCAATGGTATAAGATATCTTATGTTTTTTCAAAAACACGAGGTTCTGTGCTAGGACCGTTATTATTTGATATATACTTTTGAGTTGCTGCATTATTTTAATTCCCAGAAAAATACTGTACTGTAGAACTTTTACAAAATGATGTTAATAATTTAATCCAATATTCGTCTGATCATAATTAGGCTGTCAACCCTCAAAAGTCTAAAATGCTCTTATTTTGTGCTAAAGAAAAGAACGATGACTTAACGTCACCTTTGAAGGTCCGAATGAGTAATCAAAACTTACACAAAATTAAGATTTATCGAACATGTGAAACAAAACTTATCTAATTGCAAACAAATAGCTACTAAATTTTAAAAAATTATGTGAATCCTTGTCTCTGTTCCAAATTACTGTAACAGTGCATACAGTCCATGTTTAGACAACACTACCAAAAACCTAATTTTTTTTTTATATATCGAAACAGCCGCGCAGGCAGAAGCCTAAATGCCGGAACACCGCGGCTGCTATGATAATCCCAAAGAAATTTTATTAATACGATTTTTGAACTGCCTTAGGTTAATAGAACTGGGAAAAGCTTTCTCTTGTAGATTGTTCCACAATCTCGACACCCTCGGGACAAAGGAGCGGTCGTAACGGCCAATTCTGGATGTACGAAGTTCGACACGGTTAGGATGGGGGGCCAAAGTCAAGCGGGTCTGTCTGACAGGTACATCGTGCTACGACATCACGGAGGAGAACCCTGAGGAACAAAGCGCGTTGGTGTAGCGGTAGAAGAGAGCTAGATCGCCGACGGCCCGCCGGTGTGAAAGGGTCCGAAACTGTCTGTTAGAGAAGAGTTATCGATCAGTCGGACCGCCCTCCTCTGGACAGCATCGAGCATGGATAATTTAGTCGGGGCGGCAGCTTCCCAAACGTGTGAGCAATACTCGAGGCTAGGCTTTATCTGGGCCGCTATTGTTCGTGCCAGATCAGGTTCTCGGTGATCTAGACTCCGACCAGCCGAAGTGAACGGCTCTTTGGCAGAAGTGGACTATCCATCGAAACATTCTGAGCGCTAGGAAGCTTTTTGTTCGTCAAGGTACAGTACTATGTTTTGGAAGCATTAAGCTGTACAAGATTGTTGCGTCCCCAAGCAGTGATAACCTCCAGGTCTTTCGTCAGAGAGGAAGTCGTCCCTAGTCTTTTTTTTCCAGCTTAGCGGCTGAGATCGGCTTGTCACTCTGAATTCCTGCATGTGGAGTTCTGTCATCAGCAAAGCTGTGGATTGGGTTGATCGTACAGGAAAGGAGGTCGTTGATATGTAAGAGGAACAGTGTCGGAGCCAATACCGATCCCTGGGGAACACCCGGGTTGACGTTGTGGGATGAAGAGGAGAACCAATCAATTACGACGTATATCTTGCAGACAGAGAGGAAGTCAGCTATTCATCTGCAAAGCTTCTCTGGGAGGCCATAGGACGGAAGTTACTACCCGCGATTTATGCACCTCTCCATCACCTTACTTATAACAGAAAGCAGAGCTATAGGCTTGAAGTTGTAAAGGTCGGTCTTAGATCCCTTTTTTGGGATGGGCTGGACATGAGTAAATTTCCAGTTTTCTGGGAAGGTGCCGGATTCATAAGATATCTGGAAGAGATGCGAAAGAAGTGAAGCAAGCTCCGCTGCACACCTCTTCAGTACAATGGCAGGAATCAGGTCCGGACCAGAATCTTTGTTGATGCCGAGCGACGAGAGCACCCGTCTTACGGTCATATGTCTGAATGTCCATGGTGGAGTTGGCAGCAAAGATCTTGACAAGTACTTCCGCCTTGGCCTTTGAGTCTGTTACAATCGTTCCATCCTGACCCGTAAGTGGTGGAAGGCTACTGTGCGAGAAGTTCCTTTCGATCTGTTTGCCAGCGTCCAAAAAGACCGACTGCCATTGCGCTGCGACATTACCCTGTGCCTAACTTGTATATCGTGCTGGCGAGCCGTGTCACACGATTTGTTGAACTAGCAGCTGGACCATGGTTTAGGCACTTTCACTGTATGAGGGATGTATTCCTCCGGCCCCACGCATCGGCATCAGCGAAACAAACATTTCTCCAATGAAAGGTAGAGAAGAAGTCTCTGAGCTCCTCCTAGTCGACATGTCCGTAATGCCAAATTTTGCAGCCTGAGCGAGTTTCTGCTGCCACAGCGGATACTGACCGAAACCTAACCTCCACAGCACCGTAGTCAGAATTGCCCAGGGGGTCAGGACAGCAGTGCTACTGGCATGTGACGAGACGCGGGAAAAAAAGTAGGACTCGTCACCAGCTGGGTCAGCCCCTAAGTAACAGCGAACGCTTCAACTGCACGACCTGCTTTATCGGCCTTGTTTGAGCCCAACCAAAGCTCATTATGGGCATTAAAATCAGCGAAGAGGACTTTCTCTGAAGCGGGGTCATTGATGTTCAGGAAGTCGATCTTGACGGCGAGGTATTCAAGTAAGTCATCCCAGTTTTGGTCCGAGGGAGAGCGATAAAGGGAGCAAACAAATTTGGAGGATGTTTTGGAGTTGAGGCGAAGCTACAGAATGTCTTTCCGATCTGACTTCAAAAAGGCATCTCTGGAGCAGGAAAGACTGCTGTGGACAAAAGCCACAACTCGTCCGTTCTTTCTCAGATTGGAGTGCACCTCGTAATTTGGGAAGCTAAGATGGTGGTACGGTACCGCCTCGGTCGGTTGATCCTACCACCTTCTTTTTGCGTGTTAATGATGTTAAATAGACCTAAAGTGGCCCGTTGGGGTCCTGCTGTCTTGTTCGGGTCAGCGTCCCTAGACCGGCTGGCTTCGCCACGGCTCAAGGAGTCCGGTCTACCCCTTCACAGCCGTCCACCTTCTAACAGACGCTGTCCTGTCTCGCAGGATGATTCCCACCATCGGGATTGGTTACCCGATTTTTGGTCAATCATCCCGGAGAGACCATGACTACTTATACCGGTAGTCATCAGTCACCATTTCCTCATCAGTTATATAGGGTGTCCAATAAGTACCACGATAAACTTAAGGAGAAGGTAGGCTTTGGATTGACCTCCCAAATAACAAAAACTTACCTATATAAAAGTGTCACCGTTTTTGAGATATTGAATTTTTTCTTAAATTTAAAAAAAAACGAAACTTGTCATCTGTGGTCTTTAGTTGCATGTACAAATAAGGTTATACTTTGTTCATTTTTTCTATAAAATACTTCTAGATAGTTGCTTTATCATATACAAATGCAAAGTAGTTGAAAGATATTAAGGAGCCATGATCAAATAAGGACTATTTTGGGATTTATAACCTTCTGATATTGTTTCCTCAACTTTGACAATCTGTGGTGAAGCAAAAATGTACTCGGCTATAACTGCGTTATAATGAATAAAAAGATTGCTCATTGAATACAAATTTCAGAAAGGCACCACACGTACTATTTGGAATAGAAAAAAGTGATAGCTGCTTTTGTTATTACCTGCTCCTGATATGATTTTATGAAAGTTGAGGAAATAATATCAGAAGGTTATAAGTCCCAAAATAATCCTTATTTGATCATGGTTCCTTAATATCTTTTAACTACTTTACATTTGTAAATAATTAAGCAACTATCTAGAAGTATTTTATAGAAAAAATGAACAAAGTATAACCTTATTATTTGGGAGGTCAATCCAAAGCCTACCTTCTTCTTAAGTTTGTCGTGGTACTTATTGGACACCCTGTATAATACTAACGGGGTGCACCACCGAGAAGGTGAGGTTGGTGCCTCAATACACCTTACACCCTAAAACGAATGTTTGACTAGTAAAAACATTCATGTGGCTCCTCAGCCTCCTTATTCGCCTGACTTGAGACCTTGCGACTTTTTTCTCTTCCCGAAGTGAAACAATCACCTCAAAGGGACCCATTTTCGGACAGATTAACACATTCAAACGGCTGTAACCAACCAGTTGAAGAGAATTCCAGTATCGGAGTTCCAGCACTGCTATGAGAAGCGGTAGAACCGTCTTCAGCGCTGTGTGGCTTCAAAAAGAAGTTATTTTGAGGGTGACAATATAAAACTTTAATTATATTTGAATAAAAAATTAAAAAAATCAGTCTCCACCTAATTTACAGACCTCGTATGTGTGCAATATGTCTAATAGGTGCGTAAAATCACCGGATAGAGAAGCATATAAATACATATACTAATGCCAAAAAATGAGGTATACCCTCCAACAATCCTTGTAACCCACTATTCCAATTTTAGCTCGCTAAAATGAGCAAGCGTCTCTGAAACGTCAAAACACGAAGATAGATCGACATGATGAGTTACATGGTCTTTGAACCTGAGCTATACTTTCCAGGTTATAAAACGGTCAAGGATTAGCGGACAAAAAAATCTCATTTTCGAATTGTTGCTTTATGACTACTTTCAGTTAATTTCAGAATGCTTAAAGTAGCCGTGTAGCCGGTAAGACGCATTATTCATATTCAAATTCTTTTGAGCTACGTCTATCATATTAAATGAATTAAGCAAGAAATAAGCTGCGGAAATAACGTGTGTTTCGGTTTTAAAGATACGTATGATCCACTGAGCGTTTTTTAGAAATACTACGGTTGTTTATATTTTAAACATCTTACTATTTTTTATACACTAACCTGCTACATTCACTCCATTATTTTTTTGAGTTTCAGTCGGACAAAAGTTCAAGCCACATCCTGGGGTATCTTCATTGAAAAGCTAAAAAGAAGGATTCGGATTTTAGTACATTAGGCGCCAGGATTGTTCAATTATACTGGACTATCTATCGGAAGCCGCTATACAGAATACACAAAAAGTTATAATATAAAGGGTTTTCCATTAGAAGCGCTCGATTTTTGTAACGCAATAAAACAAATTGTGAGAATGATAGTGATCTGTTTTTAGTTTTATTATGAACTACATGTGTTAACATTATGTTTTAAAAATTATATCAGGTAAATGTCCGCCTCGGCTGTGCCTGGTTTGTTGAATCCTGGACACCCAATTTGTGATGACGTTATCGCATACAAGTGGTTCAGCAATAACGCTCCTAATGTTGGCCTTTAAGGCGGCAACCAAAAAAATCGCTTATCATAGCCCTGTATCCCTCACCGTTGACAGTAAGTGCCACTTCTTCGTTTTCGAAAAAATATGGACCGATTATTCCGCCGGACCACAGTGCACACCATACAATAACTTTTTCGGGATGTAGTGGGGTCTCATGAATCTCCTGTGAGTTTTCGTCGCTCCAACTTCCGCAATTCGGCTTGTTAACAAAGCCACTTAACCAGAAATGAGCCTCGTCACGAAACATTCTTTTTCGCTCAAAATCGGGATCGACCTCTAGCAGCTCTAGCGCCCAATTAGCGAATGCACGCCGCTGCCTATGATCATTGGCCTTTAGTTCTTGGGCTAGTTGCACTCTATAAGGGTATGGAATGGACTGTTGCGAATTCTCATGCACTCTTTCTCCAACTGCAGCAATATTTTCAAGGGATTTAGCTGACGTACAGGCACTCTCTGATCTGCCACAGACCCAGTTGTCCAGTGGCGCACCCGGGATTTCAGTCTGGGAGGGGTAAAATGGAAAGTAAATTCTCAGTGTGATGTACTGAAGTGTAGTAATGAGTTAACATTAAAAGCATGGAGATATTCAGACATACGAATTTGTTACAGTAATTTCTGTAGAAAATACACACATTTTTTTAAATTTTTAATCATACGAAATCAAAGTGTAAATAAAGCAAACCAAGCTCGAGCAATCTTCATATATTAAAACAAAAATGCAAAATAATATAATCTATCACAGACTTCTCTACATAACAATGTCAGACAATACAACAAAAAATACATCTTCATTGAAAAAAATAACAATAACAAATATGTTACGACTTCTATAAAGTATAAAACTGAATGTAAATCAAAATAAAATTCTTAATCATGAGAAAAACACAAAAAATATTCATTGCATAACATTCTCTTAGCCAGTGTCAAAAAACAAAAACATATAAACTATGAAACTACATCAGTTCACAGTCTCAAAATAAAACAATCATTACATTAGCTTAGAAAGTGATTTGAACAGAATTTGAACAGAGTTTTATATCAATCTGCTAGCCAATAAATAAAACCAGATATCTTTGTAAAAGATCACCGTGGTGGTTTAAACGTAAGTAAACCCTTAACTACATCTGCTTTTTTATTTATTGGCCAACAGAAGGGAGATGGATTTGAGAGACAACCTTAGGCAAAGTTCAGGTGTTATCATATTACAAAATCAAGGCACCTATTCTTTTGCTGGCGAACCGATCTATGATTGTATTCACGTCTATTTTAATATCCCTATGCATATACAAAATAGCTAAACCCACTAATCGCTCTCGTAACACAGTGGAGCGCAGCCAAGTTTTTATCCTCTTTAGAAGGGAGAAACTTCTTTCAGATGTCGCAACACATACCGGCAATGAAATCAATAATTGTAGGCACCTATTAATTGAAGGAAAAATGTTTTCATCACATGATAAACACAGTGACATTCCACTGTCTATAATATCTTGTGTACGTGACTTCCAAAGGTCAAATTCTGCTTTTAATCTGGTACTTATTAATTTTTTGTTTTCGTTACTATTTAGTCCATGCAAATATTAAGAGAATGTTTCTAATATGTCCATTACTTCAACTTCAGTTTTTGAATTAAATACTGACGCAAAGAAAATATTAAAATTGTTTATATTCAAAGAGTCTTCATTGAACCGGTATACCAAATCGTGTAATATATTATCTAGCAAAGGGACATATAGGTTCAGTCTGTAATGATTTTCCTTGTCAAACGTAACTATGTTCGGTCTGTTCATTTTCCTGCTTATTATTCTTGGCACAGTCGGTTCAATACCCAAGGTTTCATGTGATTTCATTATAGATGCGAATAGTATAGTACAGTGTTTTTCGGAATTTGCGCGTCTTTCTTGTACAACTGAAATAATATTTCCTATGAGTTTCGACAGCGTATTGTTTGTCAATTGTTTTTTATTGTAAAATTTTACTCAGGTTGACTGTTAAAGCTAATCTATCACACACACACTTTAGTGATACGATAAATTGGGTGGAAGTAATGGCAGTCTTCAAAGACTCCGCTTTTGAAGAAGCTTCGCGGTCTTTCCAATTTGATATAATATTATATTTTCTCGAATTTGCTTTCAAATTGGAGCACAGAATCATGTCTCTCGGTCCATCGTGTTTCGCACATACTATGAATTTGATAGCCGTCTAGTTTTCTTTTTAATACTGTATTTCTTTGAGCGGATGCTTTGAAGAACGCAATTACTTCTTTCATTATACCTACAGTATTTCTTACTGCTTGGACACTGCTGCTTTTTTTTTTGCAATTCCATTACAGCGCCCTTTTGTTCACCTAACATTAGGTTACACGTACCAGTACCAATGCCCACAAAAGTTATTGGTTTTAATGAAATGATTGATTGTTTGAGCAAGAATTTGACCTGTGAGTTTGGGCTCCATTGTATCTTCATCAAAATTTGAGTAGCAATCCACAAATCCCATGAAGCCCTCGTAAATATGTTTTTGATAACAATACCGCAATACGATTGAAATTTTGTGATTTATGGCTAATGTCTGTAGTTTCGTCAAATATAATACTGTAATACTGACTTTGCCTGACGCGACTTAAAACTATATCCAAGATATCTTCGCCACAACATTCTATAATATTTCATTTTGGATGCGGCTGCTTATGTACGTAGGATGCGCTTTTGAGTTCTCCGAGTTGTTTTTTTCAATAAATTGTCGCCGGTCTCTTCTCTAAACCGTATTAGTTCTCTAAAATTTCCTTCATTATTAATGACAGCCTCGTCATTCGTGCTGTTTGTGCAGTTGTCTATCTATCTCTATGCCCTCTAAGTGGTATATTTTGGTGTCCTAAAAAATTTATAGATTCTATTATAGGTGTCAATCTTTGCCGATTTTCTGATACTTGCTTAATTCGCTCTGAACCTATTATATTTCTTATATCATTCTCTGGATTTTCGTAAATCTTTAAAAAGTTTGTAGCATCTGAAACTGCTTCTGTATGATATATTGAGTTCTCATGTGTCTCACAATCACCGGTTTTGCCATACAATTTCGAAAATTTCTTGAGTGGTACGGTAACAGGTTATCCCAATTTAGTTAATTTGTGTACTCCTCTTAATTTTGCCAAAACCACGCAATATTTACAGAAAAGCCCTTGTAGTTCCTCTGAATATGATAGCCAAGGAAATTTCTCAAAGTGTTTTTTTGATAAGTAACATTTCTCTTCTTTATTATTTTTCAAGTGCGTGGAATAGGAATATTCAAAAGAGTCATTAGGAATCATTGCACACCTCAATAAGGTATATTTTTCATGGAAAGACAAGATGCGGCTGAAATTTTTATGGCGCAACATCAACAAAATTGAAACCTGTAGGTCTCGCACCCAATTGTTCAACACTTGGTTCAGCATACGGTGCAACATCAAGAAATTTTGAAGTGGAAGGCTCAGGTGGAATTGTAGGATTATCATCAGTTGTTCCCGGTAATTCTTGTGCCGGTGGATCAGACAGTTTGTTTTGTTTAGAAAGGAACCAAGCGATGGTATTCTGTTTCCTTTTACTCATCCTGACAACAGCGGCCGTCAGCCAGCACTAAAAGTTACACAAATATTCTCAAATAAACGGCATTACTGGTTTCCACGCATTCGCGTATCTCATAACAAAGAACCTTTTCTGTTTGGAAAACAAGATTTCTGAAAGAAATCGATGGATCGGTAGAGGCGGACCAATCCCATGGCCTGCATGCAGTCCCGATCTCACACCTATGGACTTTTTTGTGGGGTCGCATGAAAACTTTAGTGTACTCTGATCAAAATCCTGTACCCACAATAGAAGACCTCAGAAACAGGATAATACATGCAGCACAAGAAATTCAAGCCTCTCTTAGGAATTCGGCGGTAGTAAAATCAGCTGTCATAAGAAGAGCACGTGTGTGCATTAGAAATAGAGGGCGCCATATTGAAAATGTCTTATAAAAATAAAAAAATGTAGTTTCAAACAAATTATCCTGTATTAAGGTATGATTTTGTAAGTGTAGTATTTTTATTGCTTTTTCCTTCCTCCTCCTATAATAGTCATATTTTTGCCAATTCTTAATCGATTTGTGATTTGTATACCTTATTTGAGAAAGGTAATGAAACGCAGATGTTTTCTAATTATTTTGTACGAAAAATTTGTATGCGACTTTTTCTAGTAAACTGAAGCTTTTGAGATGAACGAAGATTTTTTTAACAAAAATTGAACTATTTTGGAGCTTACTGCATGAGATAACGTCAATAATGTACATTTGAGTATCAATTTTCGTATTCTAGAATATTTTTATTGTAAAACAAAAAAAAATCAAATGAAACACCCAGTTTTCAAGTTTTATGACTTGGTTAACATATAAAGGACGTTAATTTTATAAAATCTTAAAAATTAGTATAATTCGAAAACGGCTCATTTTCGGACAGTAGTTCCTATAGTAAAATCGACTCAGATTGGCTTGTACTATACCACCGTCACCCTGTATACAGGGACTTCCGAGACAAAATAGACATAGATGATAATGATAGCTGGAGTATAGGCCAAACACTTCGTAATTGAAATTATATTAAATTACATTTTTCCGTCTGTCATTTTTTTTAGACACGATTCTTTTATAGTATAAAAATTAAAAACAAACAACAATTAATTTTCTGGCTTATGCGTGGAAAATAAAAAATCAATAGAACATAGAAAATGGCGTTAATACCAACCAGATCAACAAAACTCCGCTTGTTCACAATTTTGTTGCGGACTCCGGACTGGTACAGAATTTAGACACTAGACTAGACCATAAAAGACTAGACTATAATTAAATCCATGTCAAAGAAAACATTTATTGATTTAGCAGAAATGATGAAAAAGCCATGAAAAAAGATATTAGCAAGACTGTATACAGGTGGACATCATCCAGTGAGTTTATATGGCCATATTTTAATATTCTTGTGGTATATGGCTACACAGGATACTTTGTTAAGCATAGGAACTAGATTTAAAATGTCGCCAACAATAGTAATGATTATAATTAATAAGGTGCTCTACTTTATGCTAAAACTGAAGTCAGCGTCAGCCTGTATCAAGTTTATCAAAAATGAAGCTGAAGTACAATAAAAATAACCAATACCCGGTAAAATTCTAACTTGTCACATTTCAAATAATAACCAGAAATATAAAAATACTCTCGAGTTGGGTAAATACCACAATTTTGCGGTGATACCTATGACATATAACAGCTGATTCATGACGTCACGGATCTTATAACCAAACTGACAACCACACTCGCTTGAACGGATCGGTAAATACCAATCCAAAATGGTAAGTACCATTTTCATTTGGTTATCTGTTTGAATTTGATTTATACCTGTTCCAACAGAAAGAAGCGCACAGCGTTGCTGTTGGTGGGAGAGTAGTCGCTAGTCGCATGCACACTGAGCGGGTTGGCAGTGTTGCCGCTATCCTTTCTTGAAGTTACAGACTTTTTCATAAGACGTTTGCTTTATACCACCTTTTCAAAGACTGCTCGAGTCGTCTGGGGGGGGGGGGAATTACCCCTTTTACCCCCCCCCCCCCCCGTGGGAGCGCCAGTTGTCGAATTCGTTTATTAAACGGCGAATTGTGGATTCTGCAGGACGACAGTCGACATCATAAATTGCACGGAGTGCACGAAACTTTTGACGAAAAGAACACTGATTTTGGTAATAATTTTTTACGCTTTCGACGAGTTGCTCAGTCGTGGAATGCTGAATAATAAAATGTAGCGACTAACTGAATACTGCTGCCAAAGATAGCACCTGTGTGACGATCGACTTCGTCATGCTCTGTTTCCGAACATCGAGCGTTACATTGGAAAACCCTTTACATATGTACAAGGAGTCCCAAACTAACATGTTGATCTCTCGTATTTATAAAGCAAAATAATGCAACAACTTTCTATAAAAAATATTTTGCGAGGTTCCCTACGCAAATGCATACCCCTAAAAGACGCTAAAAGTTACGGTTACACACGAGAAAATAAAATTTCACTTGATTAAGTCTTATATACTTTTTGGCTGCAGTAAAAAACCGATAGAAACAGTACCGAAACAAGACATTTGATGAGCTAAGGGATTTACAAAAATATTTTGGATCATTATTCTACAGGAAGGAAGAAATGCCAAAATGCCAGCAATATTGCGTTAGGGCTAATCCGTCCCTGCGAGTTAACTGATTACCAATGTCACTATCAAGCAAGGTTCGTACTATTTAATATGCTATCGAACTTATTAAGTGTTGTTCAAGAGTTATTTAAGAAAAACCGATTTCAGGTGGCAGTATTTACCAGCAGTGTTTCAAAAATTGCCAAGGGACAAAATAGCCTTAATCTGAAGAATCACTTGCATGTTTGTCTCATGTTTAGGAAGTACTCTGTATAGCAGCTACATAATAAATTGTTATTAAGAATTTTCCAATAAGGACGGGTCGATGATGAAATAGAATAAAAAAAACTCTGAAACGTGAAAAAACGAAGCGATTTTAACTTTTTTCGTTTTAGGCCTTTTTCTTTGCTGCTGCCTTTTAACCGAATTTCAAAAACAACAAAGCTTTTGCCTCCTTGGTATAGTAGTAAGATTGTGTAAAATTTTCATCAAAATACGAGCGGTACTTCTCAAGTTATAGGCGGTTATAAGATTAGTGGACAGACCGACAGACAGACAGGCCGACATAAATGAGTGACATGGTTTTTCGTAATGTACATATCATTTAACATCCAAAAGAGCATAACATTTCATTTTCGAAGATTTTCGCGATTGCAATACTTCTCCGCCAGTAGGCGTGGGAAGTCGGGGGTTAAAAATGCAGAAGCTCGCATTTCCTATAGTGTCCCAGAATGCATAAGTAATCCAAGAGGTTCGTATGGAACAAAGTTCCTATGAAAACGACCTGCAAGCCTTTTTATAGACACCTGTTACACTAGTTTTTCTTCATCACGAAAAAATGGATTTCATACATATTCTGAGACGTATGAGTATGTTACTTTGTTAATATCATGTTAATTATTGAAACGGAAATGAGTGACATGGTTTTTCGTGATTCCTCATTTTCGAAAATGTTCACGATTACAATAGTAAACAAAATTTCGATAATACTTGGCGTACATTTTATTCCACTTCAACATCTACCCACCATTCATGGAAAACTCTCCATGCTTCTGACAAACTTACCCCTAACAATGCGTTGGCGTCCAAAGTACCGCATCCATGGAGTATATCCTTCAGTTGCTCAATGTCACTTTGAGCCGACTCTAAATGTAAATCTAAATCTTCCCTGCAACATTCATTAGTACCAAGTGTACTAACGTTAAAAAATATTTAAAAACACTTCCAATGGGATAAATACTAAGTATGCCCTTTTAAAGTTATCTAGAAAATTTGATTTTTCCTGTAAATGAAAAAATGTGTACCAAGTAGGTACTTGACAAAACGGCTAAACTGACCGCAAATGAGTATTTCCAGATCTTATCCACATTTTTTTCATTTTGAAGAATTTTTCTTCGCAACCAGGTCTGGGATTGATGTTCTAGGGAACCGCCAATCAAAATTAATGTTTTACCGAATTCGTCGCCAAAATTCCGTTGAATGGTTACAAAATTTCCATTTTGTTCCTAATCCGAGATCAATTTGAGGCTAAGGAGAAATCAACCCTCAGAATTACTAATTACAACGGCAGACTAAAAATGATACTTTACTTCATGGTCCTAGTAATAATAGTAGTGGTGGGAAGGCGAAACCTGGCAATTTGGCCACCTTTAACCCTTTTAGCCGGCCCCCTAGTATCAACACTCCATGAGCCATCTGCCGGTAACATATAATAAACCAGTTCTAGCGATGTGATGTAACTATCGTTAATATTGCACCCATGAGCGTGAAAAACACAACACAACATCCATAGCTCGGAATTAAACATCCGAGGCGGAGATTCGAACCAGCGAGCCTTGGTTGCTAGCTCGACGGGCTTACCAACGAGCTACACTTATAGTCCTAACTTTTGTGGTTTCTTATGAGAAAATGTTCTAAAAGCCAAGCCTGTGTGAACGAAGACACGTTTTCTGAGTAAAACAGGCATGTAGATTCCAAATCGACGTAAATTGACGCGAGAGCCCTCGCGAAATTCGAGCGGACATCCAACTTTTGCACGCAAAATGTTACCACCCATAGAAATTCATCGCCTTGAGTGAAGTATTTGGGGAAACGTGTATATTTACTCAACATGTCCTCAAATGGTGAAGAGAGTGCTTTGTCGGACGGCGGAGGCGGGAGTACGAAAGTGGATTTCATGTCTAAAAAATGTGTAGAAAAAATGACAACTTAGGAGAAAAATAGCTTAAAGATCAACGTTTCCAATGGTGAATTCGTTTTTTGAAATAAAAAATTCCTTATGCATTCTAAAAATGTGGGAACCTTATTTTTGAAACAACCCTCGTAATTGAGTATCTTCAGGCATTGATTAACGTATTCCAACTATCTTCAGGTAGAATCGATAATTACCTTTGAAAATGAAGCGTGAAAACAAGAAATCCTTCGAAAATATGTCTAATGTGCTCTGTATTTCAGGTAGAGACCTCAAGAATCGCATGGACAAGTAACCTCTCGATATAAGTATGTGATCCAGTCGAAGATATATTCACATTAAATCAGTTTTTTGAACTCGGGTGTGTAATGTCGGGAAAGATTTCTATGATGGAGGAGCGCTTTTGCGGGATAAAATCCGTTGTTATATCAGCACCGCTCGTCGTTGACAAGACAATATATTAAGGTACTACTTGTGCGGTTGTGTTTATAAAATTTGCCAGATATTTTGAAGTTCAAATTTTACTATAACATAATGCTCACGACGTTTATTTCAGAGACACTTATTCAAAAGAATGAAAATTCAAGTAGGTTGACTGCACTTACTATGCAACGCTGTCATCATTTCATAAACTTCGCAACTATTACCTCAAGTATGTCTGTAACTTGTCTGTGACAGTCAGAGAGCGTTGCTATGAATACCAAGTATATGTGAGCAGCACGAAAGGGATATTCAAAGTTGTAAATTTCCCTATAACATCAATGAGACATCAGTTAGGATTGATCAAATATCTTTCGGCATTGATAAACTAAGGTTATGCTTACCCACTGTTGATTTTCAAATCTTTAGTTGCTATTCTCATGTCTTGATTCAAATCTGGCGTATTATTCGATAGAAGGTTACTCGTAGATAATTCGGAGGCATTCGGCGTTTTTTTACCATTTTTGGTTAATGCAGCCTTACGATTACAACTGCCATTTACCAAATTTGACAAAAGAGTATCTCTAGAGCTCGGATTCAGAAATACTTTCTCATTGGATTGAGATACTGTGTTATTATGGAGATCATTCAGTCCTTCCTCAGCTATGTCGTTGGCTATCAGATCTTCTGGTTGAAGCTGATTGATCTCCTAAAAATACACAATTACAAAACCTAACAAGTACACAACGTGTCAAAGTGCTAATAAAACATGAATTTATTTTTTACTGTAATCTGCACGTCTGGGGAAGCTCCGTTTTCAGATTTGCAACGTTTATAGATTCAAAAAAAAATTGTCTACACTCTAACCGCATCAGTGAGACGTGCAATAACAGTTTGGAATTTTAGAAAAGTGCTGATCCTTCAAAAAAATTTGTTTTTGGCTGCGTCCAAAGATTATCGAAAAACAAAAAAGTTATGACCACGATCTAGAACCACTTCGGTTTTGCATCGTAAGGCAAAGGCGCGCACTGAGAGGGTGAGCAAGTGACGTGGTAGTGGCGCGGTGATCAAGTGGCAGGTGGAATCGCTAAAGCCTATATAAACAAATGAAGACGCGCGTATCAAAATGGAGTAGCGGTGGCGTGGCATTTTGTAGGTGGCGTGATGTCAGTCTGGTGTCACTAATCTCGAGCAAGTTTAATTTTCGACTGGCAAGCGGTTGGTGACGACGACGCGACGTGGGTTTTTGTTTACTTTTTCCTGGAGTGAATCATGCGAGACGACCACGAATTGAACATTAATTTTGTAGCCCTTGTAGAGGCATATCCCTGTCTGTATGACAATACACGGGAGGATTATCATATGATCCATGTGCAAGAACGGGCTTGGGCGAAAATTGCAAAAGACATTGGGGAAGGAGGTAAGTAATAAAAAAATGTGGTTCCTTGAAAAATATATTTTTTTATTTAAAGGCATTATTTAGTTATCTTTTTATTCTGTTAATATTGTTATCTTCTTGTTTTCATACACAAAATCGTTTTTGACCTTTAAGTGACCCGTCCACTGTTAAAAAAATCACAAAGTTTCTCCCGTGTAGCAATTGCTGGATTGGTAGCTCTTCTTTGATTTGAGAGTCTCGGATAGGGCTGTTCCTCATTTTCTACTTCTATGTCATCATCATTTCCTTTCTTTCCTCGCGGGCGCGAAAATATACCTTCCTCTTTTTTAATAAAATTATGCAGTAAGCACACTGCTTTAACAATATTGTCCACTGTATTTATATTAAGACCAATTGTTGTGTGTAAAATTCTGAACTTGGATGACATCATTCCAAATGAGCATTCAACTGATTTGCGACCTCTTGATAACCTACCATTGAATACCCTTTTTCTATTTGTTAAGCCTTTTTTAGGGTAGGGTTTCATTATAGTACACATCAATGGAAAAGCTTCGTCTGCAGCAAAATAAAATGGAAAATTTGTGTCTTGTCCTGGTAATGGAGATGGGTCTGGCAAGTCTAACGTGCTGTTAACTAATTTCTTTCCAAAATTACTTTCTTTTAATGCCCTCCCGTCACTATTTCGGCCGTACTCACCAACATCAATGGTCAAGAAACAGCCATCTGCGTCTGATACAGCCATCAAAACAATGGAAAAATACCCTTTGTAATTAATAAATTCGGAACCTGATTTTGGTGGACGTTTGATCCTGATGTGTTTACTGTCTATATGGTAAATTCCATAACTCCCAGTATCTTCGAGCTGATTGTACCCATGTTTCTTTGGTAGGATTAGGAAGATAAGTTGGTTGTAGAACTTTCCAAATTACTACTGAATCAAATATCTTTGGCAGATGTTAACAAATCTGCCTTTGAATTTTTTGAAAAAAAGAAGCAAGCACCGTATAAACCACCTGCTTTCACTAATGATGATGCCGATGTGCAGTTTTTGTTGAGTCTATTGCCCGATTTAAAAAAAAATGACAGACAAGCAGAAAAGAAAATTTAAAGTGGGTGTCCTAAATCTTGCCGGTGAAATCTTGGATGAGCCTGTAGTGTCTCATATTTCTGCACCTCTCTTCTCCCCAACGTCTAGTTATTCATCGCTTGCTGCAGACAGACAGCATACCTTCTACCCGTTCCTCTTCAGCATGTACCAGCTCTATTCGACCTCAATGTGAGACAGCTGATTCGCGGACATATGAAGATATTTCGTTTTCAACAGAATGTCAGACATCCACACAAGCACAAGATACATTATTACCAAATATTCATATTATTCATATTATTACCAGATCATGAATTTGCTTTTTAAGAATAATGTTGTACAATAAGTTTGTATTTGGATAGTAAATATATCTGTATTTATATTTTTTCATTGTACGTACCTCAGTGTTATTAGAACGCTTTCTTCGGGAGAAACACATTTCCTGAAGTTCGTATCCTTTTTTTGAAGCATAGGCCGTAGTTTAGTCAGTAATTTGCTAAAAGTCTCTTTCTTCATTCGATAGAAAAGTTTAAATTTTTGGTCGTCCAAGTTCAAATCCTTTTTATAAACATAAAAAATTCCAAACTTTTTATTTTTTTGCCACAGCGGATGAACCCAATGCCGTTTTTTCTTCGTCTCCTGACTTATAGCATTTAGATTAACAAGTTGCATAAATAAAAGGGCATCTTCATCTTCTGAGGACGACATGGTAAACCGGTGACATCAACTGACTTGTTTGCCACTTCAGTGCGCTTTATATCACTTTCATACCACTTCGCCGCTATTCCGATCGCCACGCCAAATTTTACCATCCCTATGCCTCTCACCACTCCAATACCTCACCACTACCACACTACCTCAGTGCGCGCCTTGCCTTAACACTTTCGCCGCTACATCGATTTTCAAAAATAAAGGTAGCAACATAGCTTTAATCCCCCATGTATGTCTGGTCAATGAAACCACATGAAATACATATACCTGAAATTCTTTAATGTATACGTTTTGCATACAACAGTAGATGAAACTTTTGACAATATTTTATTTATCTGTCTTCCAGGTGATATTTCGTTAGCATGCTGAGATTCCCCGAAGCCATCACTCCAAATTCCAAATTGTGTCAATGTTAAGAATAAACCTTTTTACAAAAATACATATGTATGTATGACCTTTTATTACGATACGATAACCTATTTCGGTATAGCAGCTCTGAACCAATCAGAAAGAGCGAAAAAAACCCGGTGCCGACAAAAAAGTATGAAATCTTATACATTCGTGTACTGTGCAAATTAAAAGCTTAGAAAAGAAATCGGAAAAATTCTACACCCTGTGATGATATTTTAGTTCCCATTACTACAAATTTAAATTTTTTCTTAGACAAGACAGTAGCACCAATTTTATTAATTCATGAATGTATTTATTAAATTCACAATGACTCTTCAAACTGCCTTCCTTTAGCAGCATTGCAAACTTGGCATTTTCTTAGAAATGATCGGTTGATCAGACGGGCGAATCTTCCGTTATTAAAAAATTCAGGTGGTTCCGTCATTCTGGCAGCTCAAGGGGTACAATGATTCTCCCATTTACAATCCCGGTCCACATCTTTAAAACGATACTGTGATCTATTTTGTCTCATCAAATGTGGATTTTCTACATGCCACTCGTGTAAGTTGTGTGGATTCATGTAACCATCTTTTTTAAATGTCGACTCATCAGTCCATAAAATTTTCTCAAAAAATTGCGAATTGGAATATTTCGACAAAATTGTTAAAACCTCCTGCGTATCTGTGATCTGGATTCCTAAAGTAAAATGGATCTTCCCGGTGTGTCTGTAAGATTGTTTGACAAAACTCAACTCTTGGAAGATAATCCCAGGGTTGGAGATTGTACTCGCCGTCCGTATTACTAAGGGAGCTCGTTCTTTCTCAATATTCCGTGGGATGTACTTTTCGGCACTCCGGTGCTTCCCGTCTTTGACGTGCTCAAGTACTCGGGTCTTCTTCGACTGCTTGTAGTACTACGTCCTCGTAAGGACAGAAAATTCTTCATTCATCATATGCTGCAACCTGTGCTACCTTGGGTTCGCGTAAAATCCATTCGTCTGACAAATATTAGCCAGAGTACTTCTTACTGGTCTGTAGATGAATATACAGTGCTACAGCGATACAGTGTAACGGACAAAAACATTAAAGCAGCATTAACCAGTATTCTAAAATTTTCGCGATTAGAATACTCCCAACTTCTGACAATCTGAATCTACAGAGCTTCTTCAGACTAAAGATAATATAATATTTTGAACACAGCAGTAAGATATTATAATTACCAAATAGTCTTTTTCAAAAGGTTGACGTGTAACATTTTTCGTAACCTGTACACAAAAAAAAGAAAAAATTCATGCTTTATTCTTCATCAAAAATGAGTTACGATCTTACCACAAATTCTGGTTTATCCCAAAAATTATCAGGCAAAGTGCCAGTACTCGTACTAGAGTCTCCACTGCCTTCACTAGAGACAGAAGAGGCGGGTTGGTGGGTATCACTAGATAAGGTTGAAGCTGAAGAAGTATGAGGACTTGAGACCTTGAAAAATGAAAAACCTTTTTTTCTACTCCATTATGTTTCTGATATAATGTATATATGTCTTGCGGCCCACTTTATTCCTCAAACGATCAGGATTGAAAAGCGGGTTAAGCGCAGTTACGAGTAATACGATAAACCTAGCTCCTAAGGTAAATTGGATGCGTAGATTACGAATCTGATGTCAATTTCACAATTTTCTGACGGTCATGTTCCAATTTAGGGTCCCAAATTACGTAGGTGTACCAACTTCCGTTCCCTTGTAACAAGGGAAAACGATTATTTCGACAAAATTGTTAAAACCTCCTGCGTATCTGTGATCTGGATTCCTAAAGTAAAATGGATGCTGAGCTTCCGAATTCGACGTCAACGTGACGTTAGATACTACCAAACCTATTTTCTTCCCGAAATTCTATTCAACGGCACTTCACAAACGAGAGGCGAAAATTCTACCCTACAAAATCTTATTATTTTTTTATACTTGAACCACCACGAAGGCCTAAGGCCTAAACACTCATTGGTACTATGGAAAAATATGTTTACTAATCCACGAATGTATAAATACCTTGTATGTGTATTTGCTGAAAAAAAAACTCAAAAATATCCACGTATTCGTTGTTTTTCAGTATTAAACTAGTCTTTCGAATTAATGTGACACCCTGTATAACTGGTAAACAAGTTTATGTAATCATAATAGGTGTTATTCCCAGCTGCCTCGTGTTTAAAAATGTGCAAAGCTGGAATGTATTTTTCCTCAATAATCATAATCAATGATAACAGGAAAAATGAATCAGTTCTACAAGAATTATATAACTCGTCCATGTCCTTATGAATCTTCTTTTGATAATTCTGCATTACTACCTCTAACAGAATGGTGGCAAGACTTTTACCACGCAATGCTGCGAGTTTAGGAATAAAGACTTCCGATAGTCAAAAGATCATTTATAGTAGATAGAGCTGCTGGTAGCAAAGCAAAATTGTGAAACTTGGATTGACAAGGGAGCGATGTGGATAAATAACTATACTGCACATATTTACTCACAGGACAGGGTTGTTTTGACAGCTACCTGAAGAGGGTATGAAAGAGTATGCGAATTTCGTACATTGCAGTGAAGGGAGGATACCCATATCATCTACTCGAACCTGGTAGGTGGGTTAACGACCAGACACAGCTTGAATTTACGTTCAGAGAGATGCTCACTTCCTGACAATTTTGCCAAGCATATAAACGAAGGTGGAGAGGGAATAAAACGATATATATATATATATATATACAGGGTGACTTTGAAGTTGAGTCATTAATTTTCAGATAATGATTGTAGAAGGAAGATAAACCAAAATATGTGTGTAAAAATAAAAAAAAATAAAATAAAATTTTTACCTTGTTTTATAAAGTATCCTCCCGACAAGTATTTCAGTGCGGACCTGTATTTGATCGTGAGGTCCCCTGTGAGGTCTGAAGTCACCTGATTCACGAGCCCGTTGTACTACATTAACAAAGGCACGAGGGGTTGGTTGCACTCGATTGGGAAACCGATCCGCATAAACATGTGCCATTTTTTATTTCGTTTGAGCCACGCAACAGACACTATTCACACGCGACTGACACTGTATGTATAACTGAACTGAATAAAATAAACATCGTTCCAAATTCTTTCGCTTTTTTGTTTCCGATGCGATGAACCGATAAGGTGGATTATATCCGTTGTTGTCAAACACGAGTACATGATATTATTGAGACAGGTCACGAAGTCACCCTGTATATATATACAGGGTGACTTCGAAGTTGAGTCATTTATTTTAACAGTGAGTAGATCTGATCAAAAGAAATGTTTTTTTCCTTTACCATTTTTTTGGTAAAATTAAAGTAACAAAGTTATAGCCCTTTGGAAGTTTGAGTACCGCCCTGTCTCAATAATAATATCATGTGCTCGTGTTTGGCAACAACGGATATAATCCGCCTTACCGGTTCATCGCATCGGAAACAAAAAAGCGAAAGAATTTGGAACGATGTTTTTACAATAAATTATTTTATTCAGTTCAGTTATACATACAGTCAGTGTCAGTCGGCTAGCGTGTGAATAGTGTCTGTTGCGTGGCTCAAACGAAATAAAAAATGGCACATGTTTATGCGGATCGGTTTCCCCTCGTGCCTTTGTTAATGTAGTACAACGGGCTCGTGAATCAGGTGACTCAAGACCTCACAGGGGACCTCACGATCAAATACAGGTCCGCACTGAAATACTTGTCGGGAGGATACTTTATAAAACAAGGTAAAATTTTTTTTTATTTTTACACACATATTCTGGTTTATCTTCCTTCTACAATCATTATCTGAAAATTAATGACTCAACTTCAAAGTATACAGGGTGTTCCATAATTATTGCGACAAAATGATAGGGGTTGTAGAGGGCATCAAAATGAACAATTTTTCCTTATAAACCCCTGTTCGGAAATATGCCGTTTGGGCTGCAGCAAAAAAAAAGATCAGTTTCTTGAAACAGCTTACCTACAGTAATTGCTCAAAGTGTCCTCCACCTTGCTCAATACACAGCTGTGCACGATTGTTCAATGATCGGCGAACTCTGTGGCATACCCCCGGTATGTCCTGAACATGTGCGGACGCGGCCATCACTCTTCCCAGTAGCTCTTGTTGGTTGGGAACAGGAGTTTCGTACACTAAAGCTTTCAGATAGCTCCAGATAAAATAATCCAGTGGGGTCAGGTCAAAAGACCGCGCAGGCGAAGGCACAGGGCCACCTCGGCCTATCCACCTATTTGGAAATTTGTCGTCCAAATACTGCCGCACTTGTAAAGAAAAGTGGGCTGGACCGACATGGTGTTGAAACCACATGTTGGCTCTTATATTCAGTGGCACATTTTCTAATAGTTCCGGTAGCACATGCTGTAAGGATCGACCATAAGCATGCCCATCCAAACGTGGTGGAAGCAGATATGGCCCGATGATATGCTCGTCCACAATGCCGCACCAGATGTTAATTGAAAACTGATGTTGGTCTCTATGGATGGCTATGGCATGAGGGTTTTCTTCATCCCAAATGTGACTGTTACGGCTATTAAAATAACCGTCCTTTGTAAAACAGGACTCGTCAGTGAACAAAACGTAGCGACCAAAGTTTGGTTGCCTCAACTCCTGCTGCAGCCACCAACGACAAAAACGTCGACGCGGCAGATAGTCTGCTGGACCCATGGCTTGGACTTTTAAAAGGTGGTACGAGTGTACGATAACAAAAATGTAAACACAGCAGGCTTTTTTTACAAACCGGCGAGACAATGAAATGTGCTAGACGAACATTTTGCAGCTGGTGAATTTTTTGTTTCTCCTATGAGCTCTTAAGGTAAAATTAACTGTAGTGCTCAAACGGCATATTTACGAACAGGGGTTTATAAGGCAAAATTGCATATTTTTATGCCCTCTATAACCCCTATCATTTTGTCGCAATAATTATGGAACACCCTGTATATATATATATATCAAAAAGTAGTAAAATAATGGGCAAAATCCGCAAAAAGGAGGAAAGTGGATTCGAGCACAAAATAGAATAGGTAACCCGAGCGATACGTATTTCTGCTGGTTGGCTTCATCAGGCCCAAAATGAGTGCACATATGAAACTACAAAAGTAGATACACATGCCCACGCATCCGGATACGGGTGTAACCTGAGGAAACGAAGATGGAGAGGAAAAAAACGCCACACGAAGTCCACAACAGGAGCCAACCTACAATTGTAGTATAAAATGGCTAGAAGACCTCGAATTCCCAAGGAGACATCTAACCACAACCACGTGGCCGGTTATACCACTTGCTGTGGTACTTCAAGCCCAAAGAATCTACAAAGAGAAAATGACATTTTATCGAACTACGACAGCACACAGTACCAGTTCGCATTGTCAGCCGGATACATTTACAAATACTATATTTAGAGTATACAGTTTTTTCGATAGAACACAGTGCCAACCACGAGTGCCATCTATTACCCGTTCGCATTGTCAGCCGGATACAGTTCCAACAGACAGCTTAATTTTTTCACTTTCGCAGTGGTCGATTCTGGTAATAGATGGCACTTAGTGCTGCCTTATTTTAATACTATAAACTTCAGATCGCATTTTGTATATTTGATTGCATTAGTAAGTTGCATGCTTGGTAGGTTTGGTTACTCTATTAGTGGTGTCACCTGCACGTTGCGCGGGTATAATCGCATAATCGCGTGGCACAAAGCTAGTTCTAAATAGTATCTAACCAAAATGGGCCGCTAAACACAGCAAATTCCCCTAGGAAGTAAAAAATACGTATCAATGAAAAACCTTGCTCACCAATCCTTGATCCTCTATATCAGTATCAAATAATTCATCTGTAGAAATTTCAATTTCGCTATCCAATTCGTGTATCGTGGGCCCATTGTCAGTAGTGGCATTTTTCGACATCTCTTTCAGTTTACTTTTTTTGTTCGGACTTTCGTCCAGCATAAGAGGCATCCTTCTCTTGACCCCCACCCCCATTCTTGATGGGGCTGATGGTTGGACAAGGGTTACCAAAAATTGAATCAACTGAAAAGGTATTGATAGATTAGGCAATCATATAAAAAACAATGGACAATTTTCAATACAATTTAGGGTTTTTTTTCTTTTCTCGTGGCCAGTGATGATATGTATTTTTGAAGGTTATTTCTTTTTTGAAGACGCGTTCGGGTATTTCAATTGGTATTTGGAGACCGTTAATTAAATAATCAATTACGAATTATCAGCTATTATCAATTATCAAGCACTAATTATTAAGTATTACTTATTAATTATTATTATTATTAAATATTATGAAGACAGTGCGTTCGACAATTTATAAAAGTAACCGCGTTGTTTGCCCAATACTACTGGAAATGCATGGAATTCCAAAATGCACCGCGTTAACAACAGTAAAAAACAATTTTATGGATGCTTCTTGTGTTTGATAATGAGTACCTCTGGAATGACCAAACCACCATTTATCTATTCCAGGCCTCTCCAACTCAGGTGCCACCAGTGCAGCGCCGAGTACCGCTCGCATCACAGTGCTGCGGGGTGACTTTGTGAAGGTGGGGGAGGGATTAGGCAGCGGCATACGCATAGCGAGGAAGGTGTTGTGCTAACCGTAGCACCCTGTGAATAGAAATGACCCGGGAGCTGGTGGCATTGAGTATACCTTCATCGCGGATTCGACTAAATTTAGTAATAATATGTAGTTTTTAAGTAAATGAACAAGAGCTCAGTAAGACAGGGGCGCATCCTGCCAGAAGTACCTATCATACCGACTTAAAGATTCAGCGTGACAAGAGAATTTCACCGTCCTCACCGAATCCAATGAAGCCTACAAGGTTTGATGGAAATTTTAGGCTCATTTAGAACAACATGGTATGACAAACGGATTTCCGCCAGAAGTTTCTGTCATACCGACTGAAAGCTATGGCAGGCAATGCAAATAGATAAAAATAATACATCCTGTTTGTATGCTTCATGCTTGCATTTAAAAGCTCATTTGAGTCTGTCAGTTTGACAGCAGTCTTCTAGATGTTCGAAAGTATATGTAAAATGAATATGAAATGTTATGACCGTTGATATACGTATAGGTTATGGTAAAATCCTACCGTCACGTTGTATCTTCGAGACGATATGACAGGTACTTTCATCGGCATACCAAGCCCTTTTTGTTCATTTACTTAAAAACTACAAATTATTACTAAGTTTAATCGAATCCGCGATAAGGTTTAATTTCGCCGGCTCCCAGCCTCAACGGATGAGTGGAGTGACATTCGTATTGACATTTGAATTGGTCTGATCGAGTCAACACGCGGGTGATAAAATAATGTTCATAATTTGGACGTAAAGACATTTATTCTTAAGATGATCTTTGACAGCGTTTCGATTCGACAAGTTTTCTAATATTTGGTACATTGCAGTGAAAATTCTGAGTATCGCCTCTAAGGACACATCAGACAAAGATCTGTTTTTAGCTTTGCTCAAATTCATCAAAGAAAACATCTGCTCGCAGAAGTAAGTTATTTGAAATCTCTGGTTTATGTCGATCGACCACGGACCATAGCACACCTCAAGAACAACATTCGCGACGCCATTGCCAACATACCGATTGATATGCTGCAAAGAGTGGATACGAATTTCAAAAATCGACTTCATCAGTGTATGCGCAATGGAGGTCGCCATTTATCCGATGTCATTTTCAAGACTACATGAAAAAAAAATTGGGATATTGTATTCTCGAATAAAAAAAAAAATAAAACAATAATTGAAGTAATTTTGTTTTTATTGACCTTTCAAATAAGTAAGTTTCTCTGGCGCACCCTGTACGTTGTACCGAACATGGAGCAAGTTTCCAACGCCAGTGCAAGAATTTTGGGAAACTCTTGCTGCCTAACACCTTGATAAAATGAAATTAAATTACTATTCTAGTGGTAGTATCTATCCTTGAGGATCGTATCGCATTGAAGCATAATCAGCTGCATTTGTAACTGCGGCGGTTCTGTTTCGAAAAGCACTGAAGATGGCGTCGTAAAAATCTCATTAGCATAAACATCTCAACGTCGTCAATGACTTCAAAAAAAAACTTTAGTACTTTTGCGCAGCTTAACCAGCGCGTAACACAATAAAAGGGTCTGTCACCGTAAGTTGCTTCCAGGTCTTTTAAAAATACTTCAAACTTTCTGCAGAAATTGACACATGTTATTACTACATCCATAATACATTTGAAATTATGGAAGGTTTTTGCACAGAGTTGTTCCTGATGTAATATGCAGTGTACCGATGATATCAGAGGGAGCCCAGCGTCGTGTACTTTTATTTTCATTCGCCCAGTAAAACCTTGTGCTTCCGATAACATTGCTGGCGCTCCATCAGTAACAACACTGCGCAAACTTTTGAGTAGTATACCCATGTCATTCATTGTGTATTCTACAGCATCAAAAATATACTAACCACTAATACAAACCATAACTCCAACGAATGAGAAGTTTTGGCTTGTTTTCATACCGGCCACACTGGGTCCTCCCTTTAACTCGAGAACACCGACGTAATCGCCTTGAGTGGTGCAGACAACGGTCACTCTGGGATCAGGAATGGAACAGTATTGTCTTTAGTGACGAGTCTCGATTTTGTTTAGGCATGCACGATGGTCGTGCCAGGGTTAGAAGGCGACGTGGTGAGAGGAGGAATCCACAGTTTTTTGTTGAAAGACATGTTCATCACACTGTTGGAGTTATGGTTTGGGGTGCTATAGCTTATGGTTCCAGGTCACCTTTAATCTTCACCAGAGGTAACATGAACGCGCAGCGTTTTATCCACGAAGTTCTAGAATCCCATCTTTTACCCTATCTTGACACCCTGGCAGATCCAACTTTCCAACAAGATAATGCCCGACCACATGTTGCAAGAGTCACAATAGACTTCTTTCAACATAATGATGTCACATTGTTACCATGGCCACCAAGATCTGCCGACTTATCCCCAATTGAGCACGTGTGGGATATGATGGGTAGGAGATTGCTCAATTTGCAACGCCCTCCTCAGACTCTAGAAGCACTTCGAGAGGAGTTGGTGGTTGCCTGGAATGAGATACCACAGGAGGACATTGACCACCTGATCAGAAGTATGCCTAGGCGCGTTGGAGAATGCGTAGCACATCAGGGTGGATCCACACATTATTAAAGGTCAAAGGGCTTTAAAGCAGTGCAATCATTTTGAAATTTTTATCATATACTTATTATGCTTCATTAAGGACTTATACAAAATTTTATTAAAATAAAACCATTTAAACTGGGATTTATATGTCACTTAGTATATCTTCTCCGGCCATTGTATCTTTGAGCGGAATAAAGTCTAGTAGTTCGTCGGTGATAGTAAAGACTATTTCGACACCTCTAACAAAAACAGCTAATTATGCTGTGTCAGCAATGTCTTTACTTTCATCGAGAGCTATAGAATACTGCACAAAATGGGCACATTTTCCCGCAGTTGTTCTTTTAAATCTGCACCAAGTTCAAGTATCCGACGAGAAATTGTTTGCTCGGACATACTAATTGTCTCAAAGTTGAGATGGTCACAATATTTCTGCACACTCCACTGAGCATTCTTTGACAAGTGCACCATCAGTAAACGGTCTCCCACTTTTTGCGATTTTCAAAGCAACAATATAACTTGCGTTACGACACCATTAATAATAATCAACTACGACCAAATTGATAATTACCTCTTCAGAACTTAGAAGGGCTGGCCTCAATACCGTGTGACAAATTAAACATTTTGATTTTCCATCAGTATTTATAAAAAATAGGTAGGATTGAATGACATTGTTTAAAAAAAGATGCACGTTAAGACGCTAAAAAACCTGTTCACTTTGTCTTGTCCTATTAAGAAATGGTCCGCGCCAAAGAGACAGTCGCCTTAATATGTTTCTCTCTGTCGTGACGGATGTGCGGTCGAGGTGGAGGGGGAACGGCACCAGTGCCGCTGGGTTCAGAACCAGAGCGCACCAGCACCAAGTGCTCGAGTTGGAGAGGCCTGATCTATTCTATCAGAATTTTGACAAAAGACAAACACAAACCATAAACAATAGGTTTCTGCTAGAATATACTAAACCTATTTGTCATCCAACTTCTTCGGACTTCTTTTATACCTATGACAATAATACACAATTTTTCATCGCTGGCCATATAAAATAAGTACGCCCTCATTACCCATTGCCCTTTATACTAACAAAAATATACCTTGTTAACAATTTGTTGTTGTTTTATATGTTTCTGCCTCAACATAGCTAGTTCTCTCCATAACACTGCATTCTCCTGTTTCATTGCAGACAATTGCGAATCTACATTAGACTGACGGCCTCTTAGATGTTTCACATCTGACAAAACTTTCGTAATATCTTCGTGCCTCAATACATTTTGGATATTGTTTTCTGTCTTTGATACCGTTACCTATACGTAAACACGTTAATAGATTGATAATATAGACTCAAACATCTATTACAAAAATATCTATAGTTTGAAAAAAAGCAGCGCCTCAATAATTCTTAATGTCTACCTTCACATACAAATTTCATAAATGATAACATAGAGTTATGTTCTTCAAACTTTAAATATATTTGAATCCGAATCTTCCCCTCTGTTGGAATGCATACACTTTTCTACAAAAATCTCTCATTTTTTCAAAATACCTGTATTTTGATCTAAACCAACACTCGTAGATTCTGTATCGATACTAATTTAAGGTTAGGATCCACGGACGTCCCAGAGATTTTTTGACGATAATACATTACTCAACAAAATTAAGGGAACAAGAAAAAATCTAAATTTTTCAGTTATTTCTGACATGTATTTCAGTGAACAATGGTCGTGTCGAGATTTTAAACAAAGCATTTTGAAGCTTCAAGACTCTAGTTTCTGGCTATTTTAGCTATTTTATGCAATTCTAACCGATAGAGCAAGGGAATTTTTTGCAAAATATTTGCCTTGAAAATGGCTGGTTACCCAGATATCAGTGGTCGATGACAAAAGGGTCATTTTTCATTCAAAGTCAAATATCTCGGAGCCAAACGATCGCATTGAGATTTTTAAAATAGGATATTGAGACTGAATAATCGAGCTATCTGATTTATATGATGGCCTAACAGGAAAAACACATTTTTCAACCCCGTGGACTAAAAAGGCAATTTTGCAAAAAAAATCCTTTGCGCTATCTGTTGCATGAGAACCGTTGCCTCTGAAAATTTGCGGCTATTAAGCCTGAAAATACAACCTGTCAAAACTCATCGAAAAATTTAAATTTTTTGCTTTCCCCCTTAATTTTTTCGAGTAGTATAGTATATCGTTACAATCGTTTGTAACAGAGGAAGACAAAAATGGAAAAGTAGTCATCCAAACTATTTTGAGTTTTCTTATAAGGAAATTCTCAAAAAGAACAGTATGTCCTGAAAGTTTTACCAGCGGGAGGTCTCAAGCGACCCACTTTTTTAACTCATACAGATTTCGCAATTTTTTGCAGTCCTTTTCGTATTCATCGCCCAAATAATAATAATAATGTACGCATGTGCAGACAGACATTCTGGTGCTTCGATTTTGTTGTATCTGGCCCGGGTACCGCGTCGGTGAAATCGTGAACCAGGAATGAAAAAACTCACGCTTGAACCTCTGGATGCAGCCCGTCGGCTCCCGGATCTTCCAATCGATCGCGCGGTCGACGAGAGGTGAAAAAGTCATTACCAGCCAGATTGATTCGAGATCGCTCACGTTACGGGAAGAATCACCCATTCACAAAAAGGTTTATAGACCAACATTGAATCAGTTGTTAGAATTTCTCACAGATCGAAACTACGGAACACGCTGCAAAACAGGAACAAGCTAGCAATACGCCTAATAGAAAACAATTAGGTTCAAAACAAAAAACTTTCAATCAGCACAATGCTGGCAAGTCTGGCAAACGGTATTTTTATATGTTTCAACAAATTCCAGCAAAACTGGAAATATAAAATGCGTTTTTTGGAATGACAAACATTACATTTATCGCTGCGCTACAGTTACCAGTAGCGGCTCGTACCAACGAGGTAGCAAAACTTAAAGTTTGCACAAACTGTTTACGCGAGGGACATGCGGCAACGCAGTGCGCATCGCAGGGATGTACAAGTGATCAAACCACACCATCAGCAACAGGAGTTGTAGTCAATTATTGGACACAATTTGAACCTCAGATCTTATTATCGACTGTTCAAATCAATATCAAAGATTCTAAGGGAAATTGGCATCAATTTCGCGCTCTTCTGGACAACGGGTCTCAGTCCAACTTCATCAGCGAATCATTAAAGAGAAAATTGGATTTACCTCGGTGAAAAATCAATGTACCTGCGGTTGGTGTAGGAAACGCTAGCACTAAAATTTCGTCAAGCGCATCTACAGTTAGTTATCAAGTCTTCTGACGACAAGTACGTAAAGAACTTAGATTTCTTAGTTCTCAAAAAAATAATTGAATGGCTACCAACAGTGGCGTTCAGCCGAGATAAATTGAATATTCCGAACAACATTGAAGTATAAGATCAAAATTTCAATGTTCCGTCTGAACTTGATGTTCTACTTGGGGAAACGGAATTTTGAAATATGGTACAAGGCATTTAGGTCCAAATCAGCCAACGGTCCAAAACACGGTATTCGGATTGACGGTTTCAGGAATGTTGAATGAAAGTCATCAGGCATATCAAAAAACCGTTTCGTGTCATGCGGTTATAACAGCAGGTGGTGATCAGTTGCTACAAGATCGACTGGAAAGGTTTGGCAAATTGAGGAATGCCCTCCTACGAAATGTTTTACTCCGGACGCAGTCGAGTGTGACCGTATTTTCACAACTACAACTACACGCGATGAATCAGGCAATTCCGTGGTAGAGCTACCATTACGCAAAGACATTTGCGATCTTGTCAAGTCAAGCGGCTCTATACAGTCAAAAGGAAATTTCGAAAGAACCCTCAGTTCAAACAGATATATAGACTTCATGACCGAATATGAAGGTCTCAATCATATGTCAAAAATCGACGCGACTATATTACCTCCCACATCATGGAGTTATGAACACCAACAGTGTTACTACCAAATTGAGAACGGTGTTAGACGGGTCTTGTAACTGAACAAGCGGACTGTCCCTCAACGACACTCTCATGACTGGACCAACCATCCAGGATGATCTGTTTTCAATATTAGTTCGGTTCCGACAACACAAGGCCGTCCTTACCGCAGATGTGGAAAAGATGTACCGCATGGTGCAAATCGCTCCCGAACACCGCGATTTGCAACGCATCGTATGGCGTAGCAATCCTGACGAGGAGGTATCGCATTATCGCCTAAATAACGTTACGTATGGCACTTCAGCACCTCCATTTTTGGCGATCAGAGCACTGAATCAAGCAGCCATTGATCAAAAGCATATATACCCTAAAGCGCCCGATACAATCATGAGGGATATGTATGTCGATGATCTAATTACAGGTACGACTAGTATCACTGAAGCTATGAAGCTAAAATCAGATTTATCAAACTTCCGTGAACCCTACGGCTTCAAATTAAGGAAATGGAGTTCAAGCATGCCAGAACTTCTCAACTCCGACAATACATGCGTCACTTCGCTACATGACACGCATTATATCTGCGCGGACGATGTGCGGCGCACACTCGGCATAGTGTGGCATGCTTCTCAAGACATGTCGTCTTATGCGATAGACGTTGAGATACCCAACCATCAAACCACTAAGAAAAGAACGGTGTTATCAATAATATCTAGAGCTTTCGATCCACTAGGACTAATTTCTCCAATCATCATAACTTTTAAAATTCTTTCACAGCAACTTGGGCAACAGAATTTGGAGTGGGATGAACCCTTACCGAAACGTCCTTTAGATATTTGGCAGACCTGTGTGTGCAATTTTCCCTCAATAAACAATTTGAAGATTCCACGTCACACATTGCTAGGTGAATTCATCACAGTTGAATTACATTGTTTCTCTGATGCCTCGCAGGCGGCATATGGTGCGTGTATTGTCAAAACAACGAATAACGCGGGTCATTCATCGGTGAATCTGTTATGCACCAAGTCTCGGGTAGCTCCATTGAAGGTGTTATCCATTCCACGATTGGGACTCTGCAGAGCAGTGTTAGCCACAAAGCTTTGTGGAAAGGTTAAGCAAGCGTTAAGAAGATATAGCAGTCAAGGTTAGTACCATCGTCCTTGCATGGGTAGCTACCTGCCCTAGTAAGCTAAAGGTCTTCACAGCAAATCTAATAGCTGAAATACAGCGCAAAACTGAAAATCAATGGCGGTACGTTCCAACCGATTCCAATGCAGCAGATCTCGTATCACGTGGATTCACTCCATAAAGCTTATGGTGGAACGGACCAACATTTCTCAAGCAAAAATCAACTTGTTGGCAGACACGAGCAGCAGTAACTCATTCATTACCCGAACTCAAACAAACACAGTCATTTTTGTCACGTGATTCTCATACTTTAAATATATTTCATCTTTTTTCTTCATTACATCAGGTCAAACGAGGAATTTCTTGTTTCCGATTATTTAAAGATCAAAAACTGTCACCTGAGCAGCGCAAGGTCAGCACTCTAACAAACGAGGAGCTTACTCAGTCAATGACATACATTGTCAAACTTTCTCTGATGCCTCGTAGGCGGCATATGGTGCGTGTATTTACGTCAAACAACCCAAGGTAAGCAAATTTCAAAAAAATTTCAGCTCCTACAGGTAGACCCATTTCTCCATTCCGATGGGCTACCTCTGTGTTGGAGGACGCATCTCCAAAGCCAACATTCCGTACGAAACGGAACATCAAATTATACCAAATCAGAAGCATGAACTAACAAGAATGATCATTATGAATGAACACTATCGGCACTTACATGCAGGAGTTCTGCAACTGCTCGGTTCACTGCGTCAAATACACTGGATCATCCTTGGCCGCCAAGCTATCCGGAATTTTCTTTCTAAGTGCATCGTGTGTTTCTGAATTCGCCCAAAACCCATCACATGCAAAATGCCGGATTTACCACGCGATCGTGTTTCGCCATTGAGGCCATTTTATGTAACCGGCATAGACTTTGCAGGTCCATATAATACTAAGAATGGGAAATTGTGGAATCGCTCAATTGTCAAATCCTATCTTTGCATGTTCATCTGTTTCTTGACAAAAGCAGTTCATCTAGAACCAGTCAGCGACCTTAGTAGTAAAGCCTTTTTAAATGCACTTTATAGGTTTGTCTTCCGCCGAGGGTTATGTCATACATTACACAGTGATAATGCAAATGGAGACCTAACTCGAGTTGTCCAGAAGTTATGTCTCCTCTCGATCGACCCCATCTACTTCAAGTTGAAGGCCGTCGCTTCAAGGCCGCCGATATGTTGTACATCCCAGTACAATCAGCCGATATCACCCTGTACATGAACATCCACACCACCCTGTACACTCAATCCAAAGTGACGCCAGCGTGTGCGCATGTGCAGACAGACATTCTGGAGCTTCGATTTCGTTGTATCTGTCCCGGGTACCCCGTCGGTGAAATCGTGAACCAGGAATGAAAAAACTCACGCTTGAACCTCTGGATGCATCCCGTCGGCTCCCGGATCTACCAATCGATCGCGCGGTCGACCAGAGGTGAAAAAGACATTACTAACCTGTTGAATGTATCGCTCATACATTAAATAAGTTTGTATCTAGTCCAAACCCAATAAACGTTTCAAGAAAATAAAGTGTTATACGAGGGATGTCTTTTAAGTTTTGCATATGGTAATAAAACAACACGGTAGGTAGTTTTAGATGACTTTATTGTTTTTCGAAGTATTCTCCACGAAGATTAATACACATCTGCATGCGCTCGAACCAATTTTCGAAGCACTTATACCACTCGTTTGCTGGCAGATCCAAAACCATGCAGTCTGTTTTTAATTTTCGGGAAAGTAAAGAAACCGTTAGGACTTAGATCGGGACTATATGAAGGATGGTCCAATAATTCCACGTTTTCTTCCGTTAAATACTACCTTGTTTTTTGGGCTGTGTGCGAGCTTGCATTGTCTTGGCGGAGGATGATTCTTCTTTCGGGGTTGATTTTTCGAAGCTCGGTGATGACTTTTGGCAAACAAATGATGGTATACCAATTCGCAGTAACAGTTCTTTGCTCATTAAGAGGAATTGTTGCAATATGACCCGCTTTTGACACATCTTTTTCGAAACACTTCGAGAACGGACGACTTTTGTTGGCTTTTATTCACCTTGGAACACCCAAACAGCCGACTGTCGTTTATTTTCTGGTTCATAACAGTAAATCCATGATTTATCACCACTAACAATGCTGTACACATTTTTTGAGTTTCCGGAATTGAAACGGTCAAGCGTTTTTTGACACTAATCAACCCTGGCTGCTTTCTGCTCTTCAGTCAACGGGTGGGGTATCCAACGAGAAACTAATTTTTTTACTCCTAATTCTTCATCTAAAATTTTTTGAATTGAGGCCTTTGAGATCTTCAAGGACGCCTCAATCTCGCGATATGTCACATGTCTATCTTCAATGAGTTTGCGCACAGCCTCGACGTTTTCCTGGGTGACTGCCGTTTTTGGTGCACCCATCCTGGGATCGTCGCTAAGACTCACCCGTCCACGTTTGAATTCTCCATACCAACGGGTAAATTGTCGTCTGATGTGGCGCTTCGTTGCCGAAAACAGACAGTAACTCAGCAAGGGATTCTTGTTGCGATAATTGTGTCTGAAAGTTGTAATAAATTATGACGCGAAAATGATCTCGGTTGAGTTCCACTTTTCTAATGACTTGGTGACACTTAAAAATTCATTGTAGTGAGAACACTGCACGTATTGTTGTCAAACTTTGAATTTAAGTTTAGTGAGGTTAAGATTCAGTACTGACGTTCGATCCGCGCGGCCTACTATGTTTCTATATGCAAAACTTAAAAGACATCCCTCTTATGCGACATGACGAGCAAACAAAACAGTTCCATTCATTCGTAACAAAGAGAGATGAAAACAGAATTTTACATGACAAATGTCAAGGGTTATTAAAAAAGTTATTGAAAAACGTTCATAGATTCTGAACATGATGCCAACTTGACGCCAGGACCAACAGGGGTTTCCAGATGTCTCATTTTTTAACCAGAAATACGCAACTATAATCAAATCCAAGCGAATAACCAAAATTTCCGTGTTATGTACAGCGGTTATAATATGGTTCAGGATGACACACGGGATGATGCTTTTTCGTCTACAACGGTGTATGGAAAGTTTTAAAAAAAACCTTTCATAGTATTAATGGAAGAAAAGCTTTGTTTTTCAGAAAAAAATTTTAATGATGGAACCATGGCTTCGTAGCTATGATAACTTTCAATTCTCTAAACCCTTCCGCATGTCAAAGAAAATATTTATTGATTTAGCAGAAATGATGAAAAAAAGATATTAACAAAACCGTATACAGGTGGACATCATCCAGTGAGTTTATATGGCCATATTTTAATATTCTTGTGGTATATGGCTATACAGGATACTTTGTTAAGCATATGAACTAGATTTAAAGTTTCCCCAACAACAGTAAGGATTATAAGTAATAAGGTGCTCTCTTATGCTAATACTGAAGTCAGCCTGTATCAAGTTTCCCAAAAATGAAGCTGAAGTACAATGAAAATATCCAATACCCGGCAAAATTCTAACATGTCACATTTCAAATAATAGCCATAAATATAAAAGTACTTATGATTTGGGTAAGTACCACAATTTTGCGGTGATAACTATGACATATAACAGCTGATTCATGACGTCACAGATCTTATAACCAAACTGATAACCACACTCGCTTGAACAGATCTGTAAATACCAATCCAAAATGGTAAATAGCATTTTCATTTGGTTATCCGCTTGAATTTGATTTATGATACTGCAGGAGTTTTTGATGGTAAGAGGAGTTTGATTGTTTCTTTTGAAAAAATATTTACACTGTTATTTGTACAAAAGTTCAATCCACGCTATATGAAAATTGATTCAACTTATCAATGAATTAAAATAACATACTTTGCGTTTGATGTTCCTAAGGAGCTCTGGTTGGTCCTTTTGAAAATAACGATGGTAAAATTGTATTTCATCTTTATCTGAATCCATCGTTCCATTTTCAACAGTAGACATTTTGTGGAACCCATCTACAAAACAATATAGTTATTATTATTAGCTAATTAAATTAGGTTAGGGTATTACTTTGTTAATGCACTTTTACTAGCTAAACATAATTGTATGATTTGTTTCATTTTACCATTTATATAATGATACCTTAAACCTTGACGTTTCAATAAATAATGTTGCTTACAATATTTACTTGTTTGCAGTTTGCTAAAGCTGAAAACTAGAAAACAGTGTCATACCTATATAATTTACGCTAAATTACCTTAAAAGCCCGCCCCCCTTTTGGATACTATTTACCACATATCTAAAACAGAATTTTGTGACTTGACATCTCAACTAGATTCATAATTTGATTTAATTCTTGCCGTTCTTCCTACAAGATGCCCTCGCAACTAGGCTGTAGCAAAGTTGTAAAAACCCACCCTACTAGCATAGAAAACAGTTAATAGATATACTGATGATAAATATATTTAAAATAGCTTACATAGATGAGTTACACTATATATTTGAACTATACTGGGATGCAGCTCTCAGTGGTGGTATGCCTTTATGAACCCAATTACTTTTATTTATGTTACCGTAAGTTTTACAGGTTCAATCCCACAAAATACAGCATGAATTAGACATTATTCTAAAGCCACTCTAATGACTCATTCAATCAAGACTTTACATATCAATCATGAATTACAAGATCTTCTCAATCTTATTTCTTATCAGTAATTCAGTATATCAAAAAATGTATCAAACCATATTATTTTAATACAACAAACCATGACCAAAACTGTATAAGTAACTTTTCCAGAAAACCTATAAGATATGTTTACTATGTGCTTATTTGTTTTTTATTATTATTTTTTTTCTATCCAGTTTAAATTATAATATATGTTCATCTTATGACTCTTCCCGATGCAAAGGATTGGCACAAAGGCTGTCTATGTGATAAACTTTTGGAATACATTTTTTCAATAAATGATTACTTTCCTTTAGGCTATGTTTTAGGTTAAGGTGGCAATAAGCTTTCGAGATGGTAAGTATGAATGGCCATTGGCAAGGCTTTGCCATTTGTTACTGTAGTACTGTATGTATTTATTACAAAAGTCAATTAAATTGAATGATTCTTTAATTTTTTTTCACAAAACTATATTTTTACATTGTCATTTTGCTTATTTACAATTTTAACTAAAGCAGCTTGAGACACTCATCCATTTTCATGGAACCAATTTTTCAAAAAGATTTGATTCACACATTACCTGTTTAGTTAATTTAATTTTATAAACAGAATTTTCAGGAATAAACATGGTGAAGGCTGACCACTAAATATATCATGTTACCAATAAAGTTTGAGGATTCTAGCTGAATAATTCTTGGCAAATTTTATTAAATAAAACTGGGAAAACAATTAACACATTTATATTATTATGTATGTCTATATTTGAACCAGTCCTAAGGACCTATACATGGAAGCCCAACTTAATATGGTTGGTCACTTTTTTGGAGTTTGGAAATTTTTATTCAACCTCAATATCTACTGGCACAATAATTACTCTCAAATTTTATTTAAAGTGGTTTGTACCTCATCTATGTAATCAATTCCAGATAACAAAATGAAAGGTATATTCATATAGTCAACAGAATTTCTAAACAATCTGACAATAAAATTTGCTAGTAAAAGCTTTTAATCTAAGTATAGAAAACATTTCATAAATTTAAAAATATACTTATGATATTATGATGTTAAATACACATATATCTAAAAGTACCGTATTTTACATTGGCATTTTTCGAGAAAGTAATCCTGAGACTAAGAAGCTATAAAAATAATATACAACATTCTTGAAAGTTTAAATTATACATGATGACTAGAATACTTTTGAAACAAAAATTACATGAAACATCATTTTCTATGGCAAAAAAGATTAATATTATTTTCAGTATACACCTTTTTAAATGTCATCCAATGCATCAAGTTTAGATAACATATACAAAAATTGATAATTTTTTCCATAAATAACATTATTATTATATCTTCTTTTATATTACCCTTGTTTATCAATTTACAACTTATAAAATGAATTTTTGCTCTTAAATAAAGTGGACACTTTTATGACAGGCCACAGTTTTTTCTGTGAAATTAGGGTAACAATACAAGAAACTGAAAATGAATGAGCTATCAGAAAGATTTTTTTATTGTCAAAACAATGAATTAATTAAAAATGAGTCCAAATTAGCATGAGCCTACATTACATCCACTCCAGTTGAATTACAAATGCAATAAAACAATAAGCCTTACTTTCAGACAAAAATCATCATACATGTAATATGTGGTCACATTTTCTGCTCTCAGTTACTTTCGACAAATAGCATTTATTATGGAATATGTTAAAATGATTGTCCAAGATGTGTATTAAAACTTACATTCAAAAGAAATAGCATACAACTATGCAAAGTGGTTCTTAAATTTAAATTATCACTTACACATATTCAACTGTCGTACAAAGCTACTCATATTGTTATGCTTGTAATACAGAGGTAGTAGCTCATACCAAAATTGAGCTTGATTCTGAATGACAAAGCTATTCCCAGCCTGAAAAAGCGCACATTGTTAAAAAATGAGCACTAGTTATATACCAATGGAATGTCACTGTCAACCACAACGTTTCACTAACGACCTATTTAAGAAAGGTTTAGGAAGAATACTTACCGGACTCCAGCAAATCAATTGATCTGTATTTGGATCATTTACCATTTTCCACAATTTGCCTAAAAAGGCAGGAATATTTGACGTACTATCTCCAGCACCAAATGGTTGCATTTTGTATATTTTTATATTGTACACCTGAAACTCGCACGAAAATAACACGGTGTTATTATTACTACCGTTTCACAAAATTAGAACTGCAGTTCAAGATTTCTTCTCCCGTATGTAGAATCAAATATCAAAACATAACTAAACGACCATTTTACGTTCATAATGCATGACACTTTTCAGCTTTTTACGTTATGTTATTGCACGAACTACGTAGTGCGTTCCTAAAGCACACAACACGACATTTCAGAGAACATTCATTTCAAGAATTCTATCTGCAATTCAAAAGCCTTTAGCAGTCTTGTCATTCTATTTGAAATCATACGTTGATAACACCATAGCCAAAAAGTCCATAACTATCGGCGTTATCGGCTATCTATTATGTTTGCTCAAAATGTTTTGAGCGAATCCTGTGACGTTTATGAGTGTGCCAGAGTGTGTGTCAAAATATTGTGGAACGCAGCTCTCAACAAATACCCGAAGGCCAGAAGTCACGTTGAATTACATGCGGTTGCTTATCTCTGAGACTGCGCATTTATTTCGATGCTGATTGGTCTCAATACAAATTTATCAATTTACGAACCAAAAATTGTATTTTGTTTATTGAAGAGCGACAAATATAAAGGCAACAATTGTTATCTTGCGTGGCATATGTATTCCCATGTGAGGCTCATGGAAAATTTTATGACAATTCTGAGCTACCTGGCATTTGAAAAATAAAATGTATAATACCTTCCTGTATAGGTATATAGTCTACAGGTATATTTCCACTTTGGAATCTACACGGGGTGCTCCTAATGTTACGCTCTCACGAGGCAAGAAGATATCAGCACGGCATGCTTTCAATTTTGCTTTCGTTACTCCGAAACGTGTGAACCAGCGATGAGGGTCGTGGACTGTTCACACAGTCACGATTCAGTTCATTCTTTGAAGATGATGGGTGCTATCCAAGCAAGGAGATTGGAAACTGAATGGTAAGGTAAGGTTTATCGGAAAAATATAACAGGTCGAGGCAGGACCGTCTTAAGCTATGCAGGGGCCCTGGTAGACACAGGAAACGCGTGAACTAGCGATGAAGGTCGTGGACTGTTCACACGGTTACCGATTTAGTTCATTCCTTGAAGCCGATCGGCGCTATCCAAGCAAGAAGATTGGAAACCGGAGCTTAAGGGTTTGTCTGGAAAATATAACTTCAGCTATGCAGCGGCCCTGGTAGACTCGGGAAACGTGTGAACCAGCGATGAGAGTCGTGGATTGTTGACACGGTCACGATTCACGATCGCGTTCATTCCTTGAAGCCGATCGGCGCTATCCAAACAAGAAGTTTGGCAACCGAAGGGTACGGTGAGTTTTGTCCGAAAAATATAGCAGGTCGAGAATGGGCCGTCTTAAGCTGTGCAGCTGTCCTGATATACTCAGGAAACGTCTGAACCAGCGATGAGGGTCGTGGATTGTTCACACGGTCACGATTCACGATCCACTTCATTCCTTGAAGCCGATCGGCGCTATCCAAGCAAGAAGGTTAGAAATCGGAGGGTAAGGTAAGGTTTGTCCGGAAAATACAACAGGTCGAGGTAGAGTCGTCTTAAGCTACGCAGGGCCTCTGGGAGACTCAGAAAGACCGTAGGCTGGAGAGGCTCTAGGCAAGTGCGAAATCCGAGCCCCTAATTTACCGCTGAGGAAAACTGGAATAAAGCGGGGGAGGCGATTGAGAATTTTTTTGGATATTCAGGTTGCAGACCGAAAAATACCCAAATTATTCAAGTTAGCGAAAATACCAATAATAAATAGACGCGGAAAATATATCAACCTACCTACCTACCTTATTTAACGTTATGGCGCGGTATAGAATATGTTCCAGTTATTCTAGAGCCTTTCACCATTACATCTTTTTAGCCACTTAATGTGAAAAAAGCAGGTGCCTTCGATGTATTCAAATAAACTGACCGTTATCGTCAATATCTCTTACCTTATCATAGGGTGAGGTGTCGGTAAAACTAATTAAATTACAGAAATTATAATACTAGCTAATCAAAAATGGCGTCAAGTAGGCTGACTTCCCACGCAACACCGTCATCTGTTAATAAAGGATTATGTTCAGCACAAACTAGACCCTCAAAGAAAAAAGGCAGTCAAACAGGTCCTTACAGTCAGTCCATACACATTTTTCTCTGCCCTACCGGTGGTGCATCTGGAAACATTGCTTCTCCTCCATGCACTATGCTGTGACGCGGCAGAAATACGTGTAATACCATACCAGAGCAACAGAGCATTCACCATAGGCCGGCGGCACGTCGCCGGGAGCAAAGCGGTAGCCAGTAGGCGCGGGAAGAAAAAACTTTGAACAATTATATTATTCAATCATTTAATAGGGCAGTATTTTTTTGTGGCTTATTAGTCATAAATATTTCTTCTTTCAAAAATGCCTATGAAAAATTTAATTGTCAGTTCAAAATGTCATACCATGCAAAGGGTTGTTTTTTGCCTAACTCTTTACCAAATCGTTGCATTTATTTGCCTCATACACAGGGAAAAGTCGCTAAATTTGGCATCGACGTTGGAATCACCGTTACGTAACAGCCCACCTTAGACAATGTACTCTCATGAATCTCATGACGTCACAGCTTTCGTCAAACATCTGAGGCACTTTTATTTTTCTGGGCTACGTAGTTATCTCGTCGTATTGCCAGAAAAACGATTTGGTGAGGAGTAATTCCTATCCAATTTAAGTCAGTCCTATGAGAATAAGAATTAGGTAGGTAGGTATAATCCATATGAAATAAATAGCTTTCACTGGTTCAATGCATATAGTATTGTCCAGGTTTGCAATGGTTACGTTCTACAAATAGATAACTTCAGGTTAACCTGTAGTGTGGATTTATTAACTACGGTATCTGATCATATCATGTCGATCTCACCGATATTATCATAAATCCAGGAGACGAAAACAAATAGCATAACGTATACTTAATATGTTTAATATATGAATGAATGTCTTATAAATAATGACAAAGTTCAGGTGGACGTCTAACAAATATCGATTACTTTGTTGTGATAAGCTGTTTATTTATTTAGGTCATAAACAAAAATGCCATTGCATTGGTGTCTCCACTTTTGCTTTGAAATAAGAGCAGTAGGCTGTGCTTGAAACGAACACGGTAGCGACAGACGGTTCGGGCGTATTCGGGAGACAAAAGAGCTTGATAAATCAACTTGGTATAGTAAGAGATCCCGTTGTAAGTTTACGGAATCTTACGGTATATTCGTATTTCGACATTTCAGTACCTCGGGTTAATATTTCGATTGCTTCGAGAAATTCGATAGATTACCGATTACCTTCTTAGAATGAAACGCGGGACGGAATTAAAAATTTTGCGTTGCAAAGTCGTACGAGACATTTACCAAAATGGTTGCTTATCTGTGACCCTGGAGAAACCTCTGTTCCTACTTGAATCAAAAATCAAACCCGATATCAATATGACGTTTGGAGCTACGGGTGCTCCAGGCAAATTGCAGATTTGTTTCCGAAATGCGGATTACCTGAATTGGAATGAGCTGAATAAACCTGCATCAAAGCTGTAGAGAGGGAAGGTACCAGGTCACAGTCAAATATCGAACGAGGTTGTAGAAATTTTGGCCCAGGAAATACCCGAATTTGTAATGTATACGTGATCAATGATTATTTGAGGAATGGAAGATTTCCTAAGAAGTGGAGGGAATATGACTTGCTAAAGGTATAACTCATTCCAAAAAATCTGCGGGATTAACAGCAACATTGATGCTTTTTCATCACTACCTGCAATCCATTCGTCCCGCCATGCTTTTCTTGGCGGACACAAAAATCTCAGATTCTGCACCGATTAACCACCTTAGCTTCCCAAATTACGAGGTGCGCTTCAATCTGAGAAAGATTGAGGGAGTTGTGGCTTTTGTCCGTAGCACTCTTTCCTGCTCCAGATATGTTTCTTTGTGTGGTTCCGCCTTAACTCCAAAACAACAAATGTATTTGCAGCTCTCTCTCGGACCATAACTGGGATGACCTACTTGAATACCTCACTGTCAAGATCGACTTCCTGACCATCAATCACCCCGCTTCAGAGGTCGTTCTCCTAGGTGATTTCAATGCCCATAATGAGCTCTGACTGGGTTGAATGAAGACCTATATAGCAGGTCGTGCAGTTCAAGAGTTCGCTATTACCCAAGGACTGACCCAGCTGGTGAGGGGCTCTACTTTTTCCCTGCGTTTCGTCACAAGCCAGTAGCCTACTGGATCTCTTTCTAACCACGCAACATGTCTCTTATAGCACACACTGCTATCTAGTCTCCCGTGCGTAACTCAGACCGCAGTGTTGTGGATGTTAGGTTTCAGTCAGAACCCGCTGTAGCAGCAGAACCTCGCCCAGGCTCCAAAGTTTGGTATTACGAACATGCCGACTTTTCTTCGATAACCACGTTGGGATGGAGGAATACATCCCTCATACAGTGAAAGTGTCTAAACCAAGTTCCAACGGCTCGTTCAACAAATCGTGTGACACTGCTCGTTAGCAGAAGATCAAGGCACATAGAACCTTCTTACAAAACCCCACTGTAGAGAACAGACAAGCCGATGACGAGTCCAGAAATAAATATAACGAAGCGGTTGGCAATCCCAAAGACTAGCACGATGTAAAAGTTAGGCACAGGGTAATGTCGCAGCGCAATGGCACTTGGTCTTTCTGAACGCTGGCCCAGCAGATTTTAAGACACACCTCACAGAGTAGCCTTCCACCAGTTAAGTGTCAGAGTGGAACGATTGTAACCAACTCAGACACTAAGGCGGAAGTGGGAAGCAACATTCAGGGTGCTCTTGTCACTCGACATCAACAAAGCTTCTGGTCCTGACTTGATTCCTACCGTTGTATTGAAGAGGTTTGCAACGACCTCCTTTCCTGTACGAACAATCCAATCCATAGCTTTGCTGATGACAGCACTCTACATGCAGGAATTCAGAGCGACAAGTTGATCTCTGCCAGTGAGCTGAAAAAAGGAAGACTAGCAGCGACTTCCTCTCTGACTAGAGACCTGGAGGTTATCATTGCTTGGAGACGAAACAATCTTGCACAGTTCAATGCTTCGAAAACACGGTACTGAACCTTGACGAACAAAAAGCGTCCTTGCGCTCATCCAGTTCCGATGAATGGCCGAGTTCTACCAAAGAGCCGTCCATTTCTACTGGTCGGAGTCCAGATCACCGAGGACTTAATCTGGCGCGGACACATCTTGTCAATAGCGGCAGCTGCTGGGAAAAAGGTAGGGTATTTGTTTAGGGCTAAGAAGTACTTTTCTCCACATAACCTTCTCGCTCTATTCTTTTCAAAGTAAGACCTAGCCTCGAGTATTGCTCACAGGATTGGGCTGCCGCCCCGACTACAATACTCATGCTCGATGCTGTCCGACTGATCGATGACTCTTCTCTAACAGTCAGTCTCAGGACCCTTTCGCAACAGCAACCCGTCGGAGATCTAGCTCTGTTCTTCCGCTATACCAACGGGCTTTGCTCCTCTGAGTTCTCCTCCATGATGCCGCCGCGTGATGTGCCTGCCAGACAGAACCGCCTGACTTCGGCCTTCCACCCTAAGCGTGTCGGACATCCAGAACTGGTCGATACGATCGCTCTCTTGTCCCTAGGATGTCGAGATTGTTGAACAATCTACAAGACGAGGCTTTTTCCCAGTTCTTCTAACCTAGACAGTTTAAAAATCGGATTAACAAAGTTTTTTTGGTATCCTGACAGTGAGGCTTCTGCCTGCGCGGCTGCTTCGGTATAAAAATAAATCTCATGCCGGCAGGTGACACACAATTCTAACTGATCTGTCAACCTCAGATCTGTAGACAGAGTCATATTTTGTTGTGTTTTTATTCGCTACAGGTCCATACTTCCTAACAACTTCTATTTAGAAGAGCATACGCATAAAAGGTAAGTAAAAATAAAACAATATAAACAGTCTTTGACTAGGTCAACCGTCTCTACTATTTAGAACTTGAAAAAGAACACGCCCTTAAAGGGCAATGGCACTATCATACAATTTAAAATGTGTGGGAGTATATGACCGAATTGACCAAGTTATAAGAACTTGGTTAAATGCAAGAAATACACACTGTTTCACGAGTATCCATCACGCTTTGACGTCTATTGAGGACTGAGGTGAACAGCTGATCAGCAAGCGACATTTTTGTCTTAGTCTGCGACGTTGGCAATAATGAATCGGGTGTAAATCTGGTAAACTTGTTTGTAGCGTTTTGTTTTTGTATTCAAATGAACTCTTCTAAATAAAAAAGCTGTTAGAAAGTACAAAATGAATCTGTAGCGTAGAAAAACACAAAACAAAATACGGCTCTGACTACCTGACGTTGACGGATCCTTCAGAATTCTGTGTCACTTGTCGATATGGGGAATTTTGAAATATTACTAGATAATCAGCTGTTATTCTACCGTAATGGATACTCGTGAAAAAGACAATGTTGCCGAAACTTTTCTATGAGAAAATTTGACAAATTTTGGGGTTAGCTTCACGTCAAAATAGAAAAATAAACAACCTGTCATGACTGTCAGTGGTCAATACTGTCAAATTATCACGATTCACTGTAGTTGCAATAAACTTTTTTTTAGCGTCGATATTTATTGTGCTGTCACTGTCTAAAAGCTTAACGATTCGTTATTTTTTGTTGCACAAAAAACTATCTAACATTACGTCACGCTATGAATCATAAAGACACATTTTTTGTATCGATATTTTACCTTCGAATTTTGGCAGTCAGAATACACTTTTTGGAGGCAAAATATCGATATTCCGCCGCAGGCATTTCAGTACAGACGACGCCTGGACTAATACGTTAATCAAAAACGAGTGGCACAGCCACAGGGAACCAGCGTTCCGTTGTTTCATAGGACCGGCAAAATCCACGGCAAAACCATCGCGATCACGGACGAACATCAAGCAGTAACGTCAGTAACAGTGTTTTGGAAAACATCGTGTAGGGAGGGTGTGTTGTGTGTTTAAATTGTATGTAGTGTGTGTCGTGACTGCCGTGTGCTGTGCGCTGTTTTTGGTGTTATCGCGCAGAGTGAACACACCGGGAGAAAGTGATCTCTGTTTCGTTCGTAACCCTAGACACTTTCGTCTTTCGATTGTCGTTTCGTCTCTTTCGTTCCGACATTAGTTCAAGTTTACTTTTTACCGTGTCGTATCTATGTCTATATGCGGCTATGAAATAGATCTGCCATTGTTTACAGATGTCTGCCCAACAATTTCTGTGATATTGATGTCTCTGACATTTGTAAAAGCCGACCATTTGATTTTGCCGAACCTATTCGTTATGCCATGCTTTAGCACAAATACGAGAATTCAGGTGAGAGGAATCTTTTCATACACATTCACTGCATTTTCAAGAAGGGTGTTTTATTTGAGCATGTTTTATATTTATAATATATACATTTTTAAATTTTAATAGCACCAAACGAAAACCTAATGTTCGGATATACCACATGTGTTGCTTTTTATGGTGATCAAACTTAGATAGTACTTCCAAAGCTTTCATGAATATGTGTTTATCTATCAAAAACGTAAATTATCAAAAAATATCAGGGATGTATTTCAAAATAGCTATTCCAAGATTTCAAGCTTCATATACTTAATATAAAATTATTTAAGAAATCATCACACTGATCTCATGTGGTAATGTAGTTAAATGTACCTATAGCCAAGTCTAAAAAAGAAATATGATTTATCTCACCTTTCAAATATGTAAAAGCTTCATTAGTAGGGTATATAAAATATAGGTATATTTGGTTTTACTTAAAAAATAGGTAACTTGAAAAAAATAGAGGTGTCATTGTCACTATACAGTTTCCCTATGTAGGTTATTTGTTGCCATAGTAACGTGTCTACATGTTTACATTATATTTTATAAATTTCATTCTTTACTTGCTTAGTAATGTAGTATACCTATAGTTTGTTGATTATTCTCAATAAATGCATTTTATTCATGTGTTTTGGTATTTGAATTTATAAAATTACTGACTTCTTGCAGGTTTATCATTACCAAAGTACCTATAACCCTATAACCTGTGTAAATGGTTTGTGTATTTCAATTTTTTACATGTGTAGTACATATATGCCTAGTTTATTTTTGATATTTGAATAATCATTTTTCTCTTTTCAAGCTTCTTAACTTTTTTTTTGTTGCTGTTGAAAAATAGGCAATGTTTTGAAACAGAGGTTTCAGAGTTAGATCATTTAAAGGCGATGATATCATATTTAGTGGCAATTTGTAAATAAATTTAATTCTCGAAAATCCGAGACCAACTTGGCACCTTCTCAGTCGCCAAAATATAGGGATCAAATTTTTCTTATTTCTGGTATTATATTCATGATCATCTTCAAAGGTTTGGTATAGATCTCCTTTGCCTTTGCAAACAAGCACTCATACACATACAGACTTGGCACAGACAGCAGTTTTCATTCAATACTCACATGCAATTATCTCTGTATTTCTCTCTGTGCCCAAAAAGCAAGCTTTCATCAAGGTCACAGATAGGCAAAATGTTTTTGATTTTTTTTTCATAACAAATCTCATTGCCGCCCGATTCTCCCAGGGAGTGGCCTTTCAGAATTCATCCCAAACATATCACGATTTGCACAAAAACACGAATCATGAGTATGAGTTATTTGCATTGTTTGTATTAGTATAGAAAGATATTGTTAGGTACCCAAATAAAATATACTTTGAGATTATAATCTCTTCTAAAAAACAATGCAGACTGATAATGAAGACTACGACAATATATACGGAGTTTATATGGAGAAAAACAATAAAACATCAATGTCATTCTTTTGGCGCGACGTTGAAATCTAATGACGTCATTTTTCAATTAGAACAGTACTGCAGTAGTCGTAATATTTTTAACAACTTATCTTGCTAGGTTCTGAGAGAAGTGGGCACGTTTTTTGACCTAAAACAAAGCTCATACTGATTCTTAGGAGGTACACCGCAGGTGTTAGATAGGTTTTTTCAAATCGAAAAACGTTTATTAAAGTGCTAATTTGCAGTCCATTTTGAGAGATATACGGTGAGGTTCAAATTTGACTGACGTCGTAATGTGTACGAGAGAGAAGCGCGAGAAGCGTCCAATATGTATGTTAGAAAGAGTGCGCCGATGGCGTCCGTGGCCTCGTCATTCGGGTTGCTAGGCAACGAGGTCCTTCTAAATCTTTCTAACATACGCATTGCATGCTTCTCGCGCTTCTCTCGTACTTTATTACGACCTCAGGGGTATTTAGTTTTCATTGTATGCTTATTACATGAGAATATGATAAAGATGAATAATCTCGATTGTTTCCAGGGTATTTTTCGGATCATTTGTTTCTTATTCCCAGCTCTTTCCAACTTACAGAACTTTTCCGAAGTGCGGTGATTCTGGGATGTGATTTTTCATTTGATTTTAAGAAAAAAATTTATATGGTGCTGGGTCAAAAAACTGCATTTTTTCTCGAATACGCCACTGGTGTTTCATGAATTTGAGACTGATTTGATAGAACAATTTGAAATATACAAGTGCCATCTGCACATTTTGCGCAGAACTTGTCCAGCTTACGTTTCGACATGGAGCTCTTGCCGAAAATAAACCTTGAAATAAAGTACGCAAAAAGTATCAAGGGGCATTAAAAGTATATACATTTTTTGATGTTTGAGTGATGAAGATGATACTCATGGCATACTCAGAAATATTCAAGATATTAGGGTTATAGCAAAGTATAACTTCTGTTTAGTTATACGTTCGGATACCAACACGGAAGAGAGTGGCATAATACATCGTACGCCACTGCGAACGCCTTTGTATCGGTAAAGTCGGTGCGCTCAGATCCTACCGTATTTAAAGACGTTAGCCGTGGTGTATGATGTGTTATGCGATTCTCTTCCGTTTTGGTACCAAGCTCTTGATATCGGCTTTTTGGTCCAAATATAGTGTTAGGACGATAACAAATAAGTGGAACTCAAGACAATAGTCTCTGAAATGGGACATCTCCGTCAAGCGCGAGATATTTTAGATACTGTAGAGCCGTAGATAGGAACAACCAAGGTTATTAGGGTGTCTGGCTACATCACCTTGAGACGCCATATAATAAGACAAATAGAATTGAAACACCCTGTAAGCATATATCTTATCACTGATGCTTTTATCACTGTTTATTTTTAATACTATAATATATATTTTTCCATTGATACTGCTCAGACACATTCAATTCTGCATATTATTTAGATTCATGCTTTGATAAGTCTTTTTATAACACAATAATCTGTGAAAATGAATGCCAGACGAATATGAACACGTTGAGCTCTGTACATTTACAAATCCGATATTTAGAAGTATCGATACTTTTGCTTCCGATACCCGATATTTTGGATCGATATTTTTATATACGATACTTGGACGTATCGAAACATTTCACGAGTTATCGTTAATGTTCGATCCGGACTGAGTCAGAAGGAGTGACTAACTTCAGAATACTTTTCTTCCTTGTTTTCTTCTGCTGGTGCTACTCACTTTAGGGGATTTTTATTTCAGTGGGCAGATTTTGGGAATATTTTTTCTCGGGATTTCTTTTGGGAAAACATTTCACTGGGGAGGTATTATTATGTAAAATTGTATTAATGACATTGCAAAATGTACTTGTTATGTATTTGATTCGAAACAAATACTTTTACCTTTTGGGGTATGTATCGCCATACGAAAAATATGTCGCTCAAAAAAATCTTCTATGATCGAACTATACCTAACAAATCGTTAACCTATGGTAACAAAAAATGAATGGTATTTTTTGGGGATTCTTTTTGAAAAGTCCTGAATTTAGGATATTTTTACATTTCGACTGGGGAAACTGAGCTAAACGACCTGGCAACCGTATTGGATTCGGTTTCGGGGAATTAAACACTCATGACACGCCGTGTTTTTAGTATTGATTGAACATTATAGTTTAAAACAAAACATGATTGTGATAGTGATGCCTCCTGTATTTAAATCGGGTTTAGGTGAGAGATGTAAGTTATGCAATTGTTAGTAAAAAACCCTCAGGTTTTTACTTATTTTTATTAGTAAACTTATTAACAATTTAGTCATGCAGTTGAAAAAATCACACATTATTTTGAGGGTTGTAGAAAAAACAACTTCGATTTTCGACAATATATGTGTCGTATCGATACTTGTGATATCGATATTTTTATTCCCACATTTATCGATACTTCCTAAAGCGATACGAATCGTTACTTTTCGTGGACCGGAACATCCCTGTCTGAATAAATTTTTCTCAGTTGGAGTTAGACAACTCAAAAATCGGATAAACAAGATACCTTCACCGCTTTATAGAAGTAGCGGTACCTTGGTAATTAGGTTCTACCTCCGTAAAAAACAAACTTTATATAAAAAATGGCGTCAAGTAGATGGACTCTATACTTCGTACGCCTTCGTTGAAGGTTTTAAAGAAAAGGAATGAGTCAAATCGTTTCAAAAGGCGAAAAATCTTCGACCTCTATCGACCTCACTATATGAAGAAAATCTGTCATATTTATGTTTCCACGGCAGATGCCAGGGAAAGTATGTGTGGCTTATTATGTCTAACAGGTGTATAGTATGACTGAGGTCAGCTGAATAATAGAAGGTTTTTCACTGCTACCAAATATGCAACAATTTACAACCATTTACGGCATACAACTTCCAACCTACAATTTTTATTCCCTCCAAACAATATCTGAAAATGAGCAGGAATCTCTGAAAGATTGTAACACCATGTTCCAGCGATTTTACTTCCGCCGCATCTGAATCAATTTTCAAAATCAAATATTGCTAAAATATATAAATATTTCTCCTGTAGCGGTGTGTCAGTGACGATACCACCGCAGGCCAGTTGGAGTTTGTTACCCAATGCTCAGTTGGCAGTGGCCGCCACTACGATGCAGCAGTGCGCCGTGCCCGCAAAAAACATTGCAGTTATTTCGAATTATGAGAACATTATACATCGGACTTTTATTATCTAATTTTCCCGTTTTTATCGGGATAAGAAGCTTCGTAATGTATTTGACTAATACTGCAACAATCCCCTACCCCCTACAACTTTCAACTCCTACAACATTTTTCCGAAAATGATGAGGAGCCTCTGATACGTGCCCCTAGTTCCGCCACCACCAGACCGATTTTCAAAAACTACTACGCTTTTTCATCCTTGGTATAGTAGGAACCCTGTGTGAAAATTTCAGTAAAATCCGAGCGGTAATTCGCGAGTTATAGGCGAATATAAGATTAGCGGATAGACCGCGTCACATGTCATATAACATCGAACAGACTGACAGACAGA